CACTCTGAGCGTGTCTACACGTTCCTAGATCACGTTTCGTTTTTTCGGACAATGCACCGGAAGCCTCGGGACAGGCCACTGTCTTCGAGGAATCACCGTGTTCTTCGTCATCACGAAAACCAGTCGGCTAGTGTTCACCGACCGAAACGGTTTTACGTCCCGACAAGCTTCGTTCTCAATTAAATCACTCTTTTAATTCATTCAACGTCCGGCGTCCCCACGTTTACTCTGCTTTTAGTTCATTCACTGTAGCGAACCGATCTCTAGGAACGTCGAGACTGAAATAATAATTGAAGACACGAGTGTTTGAAGGTGTGTTGTGTAAAATTTTTTCGCAAAAATCGATTCTTTAGTTTCACCTTTAGGAAACACACGCCACCTCTGCAAACATTTGGAATTTTTGATAATTAAGAACTTAACGAGAATAAAAACAAATTGATCTCTTAAGTGAGAAATAATCTTTTAAGTATGAAAATTTGTTATAGTCGCGCCTAACCCAAACAGAATAGCAACATTGATTTGTGACATTACATCTTTATCTAGTCGTGTCATCAATTACACCTGGACTCGGCCGAAACGATATTTTGTTCGTGACACGGATCGGTGATCGAAATAGAGGTAACATAATCACAGTAATCGGTGATTTTTCTGCTTGTCCACGTTCCTTTGTCCTATGAGCGGATCTCTAGCGGTCAATTATTTCGTTCCACGTTTCAAACATCGCCTCGCATGGACGGCAAGTGGATGTACATTGAACAAGAGGGGGTGAAAGCTGCGTGACGAGACTGGGAAAAGTGGTGGTGGGTGTCTTCTTGGTTTCCAACGCGGGAGAAAAGCGTCGGAGCACTTTGTCCTCGAAAATAATGAGATGTGTGTCTGGCGAACCTTCGGAAAATGGACCGAAGTGCGAGTGTACCCTAGAGAAACACGACTCCATGAATCCTTCTCTCAACGTTTCAGTAGAATTTTTTCAACAGGAAATTCTTCGAAACTTGGCTTTCTTGGATCTCATGGGCACCCTAAATATTTTCACTTCTCTTTCTTGGTAATTCGAGACCAGAAAACGCTACACTGGAAGTATTTTGATGACAATAGCTTTGAAAGTTCAGTTGACTCTTAGAATTCTATAGGTACATATATTCTACTACTCTTTCATATATGTAATCAAATTAACATTCTATACATATAAGTAGAGTACTCAAATTGAGATTCTATATAAGTAAAGACACAGAAAATATTATCGGTGTGTCGAGCAGCAGCAGTAGCAGCAGCAGCAATCTGAACGGATTAACAACAAGGAAATCAGTGCCTCCGCCAGCCGATTTGCTTATACAATACATACATATATCCCCGGTATTATATTTTGTGCCGTTAGTGGATCGCGACGAGTTAATAAATCGATATCGCGTATCCGCGAGAGAGGAAGGCCGGGGAAGCACGCACATCCAATCAGAATATTCGATGCGCCAATATTTACCGTGTAGAAGGCTAATGGATTTCTTCATTACGATAATAGCGGTCGTCTCCGTGGGGATTAACCGGAAGGAGAGAGTGAGGGGGGGGGAGGAGGGTTCCGGGTAACAAAATGAAAAGCGACGACCAGGTAGTCGCATTTAAAACCGTACTCCAATCGTTTTTCGATGCTGCTTTTATCGATCCCCCCCTCCCCCCCCCCAGTTGGCTCGCTTAAATCCCCCTGAATCGACTTCTCTTCGGAACTATTGGCCCCCCCATCGTTCCCTTTATTTTCCCCCCTTTTTTTTCACGAAAATGGAACACAGAAAAATCCTACTCTCGCGATCAACCTTAAGAATTTTTAACTGGGTTAAATTGACAATGAATAGAAAATTCGTATACAGAGGATGATTTTTAAAACAACAGTTTGAAATTGGTCGTTTATTGGAACACGATTCTTCGTGGAATTATTTAAGCGTTGCGTGAGAAAGAGGATCATCTTCCGCGAACACGGCTGGAAATCCACGTGCATCGTTGCAAACCGGAAATCGGTCGAGCACGGAGGTCGAGGTTTTCTCTTGTTACAAAGCCACGGTTACACAGTGTGCATCGCCGTGGTAAGCTCGTGATGCACTCACAGTCAGGTGCATGTAAACTGCAAGTGCGACAGTTTTTTACGTTTACCGTGCTGTGTGTAATATTCACCGTTCTTTTGATTGGTATTTTCGGTAGGTAAAAAACAATTTCTGTTTACGGTGAATTTAGATGGTTTTAGGTGAACGAACTTGAACGGTGGGGAAAAAGCCCCTTGAATAATTAAAAAAAGGGGCATTACAGTCAGGTGAGCTCCCGTTGCACCGATGCGACGGTGCAACAGACTCACAGTCGTACCGAGTTTCGATCGATTTCCCAGAGTCATTGACCTCCACCGCGATTATGCTAATACTTTGTCGTGGGTCTTGTTCGTGGCCTTTTAACTACGCCCATGGCCACGCGTGTGAATAATTTTCTACGTGTCTGTTCGTGGATTTTATTCAACTTCCGTCGAAATCATCGAGCCCTTGATTCTGAGCACAGAATGTTTTCAAAGCATAAGAATAGAAGAATCGAAGAATCGAAGAATAGAGAAGTTGAAAGATAGTGGAGGCACAAACTTAAGAGGAACTTGAATTTTCGACCATTCGAAGATTCGAATATTTCAAATTTTGAAAATTTGAATATTCGAAATTTCAAACATTTCGAAGCATGGTATTTAAAGTTCTTAACATTACTAGATACAGAGAAATCGTAACTTTTACAGTCCCGAATTTATATGAGCAACATTAATTCCACCTCGGATAATATATACATACAATATACTCTGCTATTGTAAACACGACGTATCAAACACGTGGCCGCTTTTTTCCCTTCGCGGCGGAAACTTGCATGAAGATTGCGCTTTACTCGCGACACATTTCAGACCAGACTTTTCCTTCAGAAAATATGTATTTCGGACGTGAAACACACAAACGCGGTTCACATGCTTCGTTCGCGTTATCATTGTCGCCGTAACTTCCGGACAATGGATGTTTGTGCCGGCAGTGGTTTTAGAACGTTGCCTTGTGTGTCATTCTCTCTCCACCGTTTTCCTGCGTTTTTCCCTGATCTCAAATGATACGATCTTACCAAGGGCCAAGGGTCCAACACTTTTGACAAATTAGACCATTACGACAAACCTTCCTGGGATTGTTCGATTAATTAAGTTTAAAATACTGTTCAGCATTCTTAACAAAACTTTCAACCCGAATCTAGAATAGTACCTGCGATAACCATGCCCGAATAATTTTATATTTTATATTAAGCCGTTTAAAAAAATTGCTGAAAAAATTTCAGAAAATCGTATGTAACAGTAGAATACATATGTACCTCTTTAAGTGATGAAACATTGAGCCTAAACTCGATTGCTTCACCCTGTTAAGTTTCACGCGTCTTCGAGGCGTGTTTCAATTGATAATTTTCCGTCTAGAAAGTACAGTCGTGTCGAGTATTCCAGAGGTCCATAGGTCCACAGAGGACCATCTGCCAGAACGAGCACATCCCTCCGCTCTCCTCTACGTCAAACGGGCGTATAAAAGCGCTAACAACGATCTTTTTGTTCGCTATTATCGCTGACTATCGCTAACTAGCTCTGTCCCCCCGTTCGTGGAACTTGATTGACAGTGGCCTCCGTTTCTGATTAGCCTGTCTAGTCAGCTGGCCCTCGTTTTCGACGGATTCTAGAACGATGGAATTGCCTCTCAAAGTCTGCCCAATAGATCCTCTTCTCTCTCTCTCTCTCTCTCTCTCTCTCTCTCTCTCTCTCTCTCTCGGTATACTCACAAAGATCGTAGAACATTAATGATATACCAACGAACAAAGCTTGTGAGATTTTGCTCGAATTAAAACCAACAGAGTTTTTTTTTTCGTTAACAGATCGACGATAGAATTTTTTAGACCGTGAGGAAAAGGCGGAGAAATCGTATAGCGATGAAATTTTTTCAGCCGAACTCAATGATATGCGAATTCAAATTATCTGCTGGCTGGGTGAAAATTGAGATTATCCACTCGAGTCACGACTCACGACTCGCCTCTTACCTCTTGCCTCTTGCACAAAAATCGCCTCGTTTTGCCGAATTTACATATTTCACTGGAGCACAAGCCGTGACATTTCGCTGATAAAATTATTATCAGGTCCAAGGCCATAAACGATAAACGATAAACGATAACTGTTATTGTCACGGAGTCTTGAAAAGGTTTGAAAACGCATAGTGAAAAATTTGCGACCAAATGTCCTCCAGACGAACGCAGCAGCAGGAGCGTGGTACATACATATGTACATACTACTGCCGCATCAGAAAATCAATGCAGCGGTGGTCCAGGGGTCTTAATCCGACGCGACCGGTCATCGACGTTTGATCCATTTTTCCCCAGGACCGGCCAGGAAATAAATTTTCCCCTGGCCACATCCCTGTTACGTTCACCCTTCGACCCCCGGGAATCCTTCCTCCTGACCTACGCCCTACATCCCCCGTCCGTGGTGGCCCCGTTTCCACGTTGTTCTCGTCCCAAAAACCGTCGTATCGGGGCCACGGAATGGAAAACACACTCTCCCGGTAAATAACATCGACTGATTTCTTCCACTTCTTCTGTTCCTTGTTCCCTTCGATCGTTCCATTTCCTTTTCTCGTTCTACGCCCTACTTACTTACTGCTTGCTTATGAGAAATGTATGGTGTATATGTATGTACATACATATGTACAGAAGAGAATTTTCCGGAATGATTTTAAGAGTAGCGTATGTATGCTTGAGAATACAAGAGTCGAAGTATAAAATTATCTAGGTAGGTATAAGGATATACAGATTTCTAGGTTACCAGAATACCTGACCAGGTGAGGGGAAGCAAAAATAGTCGAATGCTAATAGCGAGGGCAAACTGAGGGCGAGGTATACATAGTATGTAATAATGGTAGGGTGTTCCTTTCGATTTTAAAGCAATTGTACTGACGCCAGAATCGTTTCTCTTACAGGGATGTTCATCGTTGTGGATAGGATGCCAACGTTCCAGTACACCCCCTCTGAATGGAAGATCGTCGTGACCCATTACGGTGGCCTGGCTGGTCTGGCCTTGATTGGACTCCTTCTGGCCGCGATTCTACCCTGCGTCGGGCTGTTCTTCTGCTGTTGCAGGTGCGCCGGCCATTGTGGTGCTCACAAGAACAATTACGAGGGAAAGCATCATCGCTGCAAAAAGGTGATGCTCAACATGCTGTTGATCGTCGTCGCCACGATTATACTGTGAGTAGAGCGGTCCTTAGAATTTACAGTAAAGTCTCGATAAGTGTCCGCACAGATCTCCAGGATAAATGCCGGTCGCTTCGTCCCTAGTGTTTCCGATTTCTCGATACTTTTGATTTCTTGAGAAAAGAAACTTTTTTTCTGCATTTCTCGAGAAATGAGAAATCAAAAAGTTTAGCTTTTTTCGAGAAAGAATTCTTCAGAAGAAACACTAGTCGTCCCCGCTATTAGGCGGGGTTAATATTGCAACGAAACTTTGTTACTTTTGCTTCTTTGTTAATGAAAATTTGATGGACGTATTGGTGATATTTTTCGAATTCTAATGATACCAAACAGGATATAGTTTGAATCATTTGCACTTTATCGGAAGCGATAGGTATCGCGATGTCACTATCGAGATTTTTAATCATCGTCACTGTTTTCTTTCTTCCATATTTCTGTCGATTAAACCTTCACTTTTCATTATTTATCAGTGCAGAGACTTGAATTTCCCAGCATACATCGTCCAACCGTCTACTAGTCCGTACTCACACGCCCTTGCCGAATGATTAGAGCCTCGGATTAGTGTTCTTAATCTGACCAAATCTCATTACGATAATCTAGAACCGCGCGGCGACACACCGTCGAATATTAAAATTCTTCTGTAAGGTTCCATTTTCAAAAAATCGAATCCAACGCATCGTCGTCGAACCAAATACGATCCATCAAACAACAGTTTCATCGTAGTTTGAATATTATCAACATCCATCGCAAAGAACATTTCAACGGAATATTTATGTCGTCCAAGCAACAGAATTTTCGCGATTTATCCTCGAATGATCGATATGTAATCGTGTTCTGCTCGATGAAAATTACAGATTCGGGGTGGTCTGCGCGTTCGTCACGAACGAATACATGCAAGAAGGGACCAGGGAGTTGCCGAACAATGCCAAGACCAGTCTCAAGGACGTGAAGCTCTACCTGAGCACCACGAAACAACAGGTGCACAACGTCTTGGAGAATAATTTCGACGAGCTCGAGGTCAATTTGAATCAAATCCTGCAAGCCAGTGGCAGAACCGTCACCGAACAATTAGCCGAGTACTCGCACGCGGTCTCGTTGACCAATCTTAGCGACATTGTGGCCGGTTTAGAGTCCATCAAGGAGGACCTGAAGACCATGCAGACAATCACGCGGGATCTACGGACGAACGCCAGCCAATTGGACATCGGTACTCGTTCGATCGATATTCCCTTCAATTTTTTTATGACCTCTACAGGCGGTTGTCCCATTTAAATCGCGACCCACTCGAATATCCTCGAAATTGTTCACGATATTAAAAAATATTTCGGACAAAAGTTAAATAGTATCAGGGGGCACACTTTCCGATGAGATAATTTTTTTCATGTGGATCTGTAGAGATCATATGAAGGTCAATTTCGTTTTTTTTTTTCTCTCCTGTTTCTTTTAATGGAATCGTATAATGTTTATTGCACTAATTCGCCATACGTGACTTAACACTTTATGTAGAGAAGAACGAGTAGCATTAAGTAGTGCCTTAAAAAAATATACGTATCAATTTAAAAAAACAAAGCTGACCTTCGTATCACCTCTACGCGTCTACATAAAACAAAGTTAATGTTAAAACAAAAAAAAGTTAGGTAGTTTAATTTTTTGATGTTAGACATTATTGTGGATTTTTGGATTAACGAGTAATTCTCCAGCGAGAGTTACTGTGGGCGATATTCCTTTCAAACAAATTTTGTTCGACTTACGTTTATTGTATTTACAAGGGTTTGAACATGTGTAAGATACGATTGTTTCTCTTCGTTTCAGTGGTACGAGGCGTGAAAAAGAACCTTCTGCACACGCTTTCTGCCTGTAAGACCCAGAATTGCAAGCAGGTGCTGAACGATTACAAGGTGAACCAAATGTCGGTTCAGGTGGACTTCGACAAGGTATATCTCGCGCTTTGTTTGATTTGTCTACGATGTCCAATAAGTCCGATTTGAATGTTTTAATGATCTTCGTTGCTTTCTCCTTTACACGCTTGCAGTACATGGACCGTTACTTCCCGAAGGTATGACTTTATTGCTTTTGTCTTTAAATCATTCTTAATTAACCGACACTTGATTGTGACACGGAGTACAATTTAATTGGTTAGAGTTTGGGGGAAAACGAATTAATACCTCTCTATTAATCGTGTCGATTATGGAAGCTCGTATTACCCAATGGACTGTGAAAATTTTCAGATCTATTGAACTGCTCGTAGTTTGGAAAAAAAAAAAAAAAGAGAACAATATTTATTACAGTCGTTGGTCCTTGTTCGCGTCTACTTTTGAGGAGTACATGCACATTTAAAATGTGACGACAGCTACTTTGCACAGCCTTGTACTTCTACATATTATGTACTTTTCAGAACCTCTTCTGTTCGCGTGTTTCTGAAACTTGTGTGCTTTATACGTATCAACGCAGAAAGCTTCCAAGCAAACGTGTGATTCAGCTTCGAATCTATGTTTGCAGAAGTGATATGCACTTTGAAACTCGCGAATACAAGAGACCACTGAATCTCGATAAATTGAGAAAGATTATCGATTGGTCCTGGATAAATTCGATAGAATATACCGACCGCTTTCTTTCGTTTTATGCTTAATTTATTTCTGTTCGATTTGTTTCATCAAATTTGCAAACCGTACGCCAATGGAAGTTAATTTTGTTTTTATAGATTTATTTCGAAGCTCGGTTTCATTTCGAATTGTTTGGTAATATTTCTGCGCATATCAGCCGCCATGCTTTAACGTTCGGAAAATAAAAAGTAACGAGTATAGAGCCACTGCTTTTCCTTAGAATAATGAATGTGCAACCATTGGTTTACGAACGGAATTACTGTATAAATTTGTCTGATTCCATGCTCGCCACAATAGCTTCAGTCTGTAAGTCGTAAGCCAAAACAGCATGCAGTTTTTCCGATTCTGTGTACCGTTTCTATTATATGTATATATGTATATGTATACATGTATATACGTATATATGTATATATGTATATCTATGTGTGTGTCGTTCAATTGAAAGCTGTCTCTCTGTTAGGTGTGATGTTTAGAATGAAAGAAAATTAGAGTGGGTTTCTCGAAACCTAAGAAACTTTCGAGAAAGAGAGATCGTTTTTGTTGTCAAGGATATGAAATATAAACAGATTGGCGATCGATCGTGATCGTAAAAGTGCAACTGAAGAGCATGTCATTCGTGAGGGCTTGTGAAACTGCTAAAGCTAGAAAAAAGGATAAGTGAATGTACATATTGTTATGTTTTGTTTAACTGTGATCAGTAAAGATTTATGTAAACATTTTGTTGAGACCAGTTCTTAAAACAAAATCAGCGCTTCAAGTTTCGAACGTTTCGAGAGTTTCGAGAATTTAAAAATTAGGCTCTAATTCACCCCTAGAAGAAATGGTAACACTTATGAAATCTTTCAAATTTTAAAGACGAGTGAACAAAACAGAGAAAAAGAATTTTATTTTTTCTGTCTAGTGACAAGAGAGGATCGAATACGAATGCAGCTCCTCTCCGAAATGTTGCACAATTTAATTGAATAAACCGCACAGTTCAGTTCTAACAATTCTTCTTTCTTCTGCACCTTGTCTTCGACTACACTCACTTTGCATTTTGTGAATCCACAAAAAAAATTCCTTGAAAGCAGTCTCGAATATTTCAAGAGCACTTGTCGCGACGACACACACACACACACACACACACACACACTCTGTTATGAATTCTGGTTTCTTCGTAGGAAATTGTTAAATTAGAAGGCCTCGAGCATGACATACCGACACTCTCATGAATAACTTCAACTTCTTTGCATATTCTGTTTCGATGGAACTTCATTTTTTCTTTCGTCACTTTGCCCTCGTTTGGCAGACATAATCGTTTAGACGGCTGGAGTCAACGGTTTGCGATCAAATCACCGAACTCTTTTTTCCAGTTGCCGAACGTCACGTCCGCCCTGTACAACATCACCATGCTGATGAAAGGCAACATCGTGTCAGAGGTCAGTAAGGGTAAGGAGTCGTTCCTAAAGATCCAGAAAGACATCCAGCAAGCGGTGAACCAAACCATTCCCGTTGTCAGCGCCAGCATCAGCCGGGCAGGGTACTACCTGGGTGGTGCAGCGAACAACATAACGTCTGTAATCGACAGGCTAAACGTTGACATTGACAAGCGTTACATCCGTTATCTGGATATCGTCAGAACGCACATTGATCAGTATTCACCGTACAGGTAATTGACAACAGTTCAGGAATCGGTTGAGGATTTCCGTGAGCGTCTGATTTCTTCAAGAAGGGTTCTTTAAGAAAGGACTATTCTTAAAGTATAAATACTCTGTTGTCCAGGTACTACTTGGGCTTCGGTATATCAGGAATCCTATTAAGTGTTTTAACGTGTCTGACCTGTGGCCTCTGCTGTGGAATATTTGGAAAACGTCCCGATGATACCGATGAACACTGCAACAAAGGTTCTGGAGCACGATTCTTGATGATGTGAGTTTCACTTCATCGACAGTAGAACATTTCATATTAAAGAGTTATACACACAAACATGTATTGTTTCTTCAGGGCTGTCTGGACCATTTTCCTTCTAACCAGCGTCCTAATGGTAATCACTGTGATTCATATGGTCACTGGGGTCTTGGTTCAACGAGCGGTCTGTGAGCCGCTGAAGAATCCCAAAGACAACAGAATGTTCGCTCTGGTCGACGAAATGGTTCAGATAAAAAAGATCCTGTACCCGAAAAACCCTAATGTTGATTTGAACATGAGCTACATAGTTACGTAAGTGGATTATAAACTTAGATGAAATGATGTAAGTTTGAATAAACGAACCGTTTGGAAACGTTGCAGGGAATGCCATTTGAACAACACCGTGTACAATGTCCTCCAGCTGAAGAACCTGTTCGACGTGAAGACTTTACGCGAATACGCCGGTCGGTCCGATATCAACGACACCATACAACAATTACGTCGTAAGATCAGTTTATCGCCAGGCGTGGTGATCCTCACGAAAAGCGCGAAATCGAAGCTGAACGATCTGGCTGAGAGTGGACTCAGCGACATCAAGTTCTATCAGTACGCCGAGATTCTAGCCGATAATATTACCAACATCAATCTGGAGCATTTGGCCAGACAGTTGCGAGAAGTCTCGGCCAAGTTGCCCGAGGGACAAGAGGAGATTCGCGACAATTTGGAGAAGAATGCTCACGATCTGGATCATTATCACAAGGACCTTGTGGTGCCCATGGCGATGTTGAGCGAACAGCTGAGCGAGAAGGCGCTCACTCTTCAGGAGAACATTAAATTTAATCATAGCTCGATGGCGGAAGCGATTCACGAGCTCGTCAAGGAGGTCACGATGGCGCAACAGTTCCTGAACAAAGATGGGCCGGAATACGTTCAGCTTGTAATTTCCTCTTCATCTGTCTATAGAAATTACTTTGTTTTGTTAGTTCTATAGGGTGTCGAAGAAAAGAACAAACGATATTCCAGGCTGTTCTTTTTGCAGCTGGCAACCAGATTTGGAAACGCTTTCCTCCATCAAGTCGACGACTACCTTGAGCACGTCATCGAAAACGCGATGTCCGAAGTCGGAAGATGCGGGCCTGTTTCGAACGCGTACAACGCCACTCTGGTCGCTGGTTGTAACAGGATTCTGGATCCATTTGTAAGTGCGTCGATTGATCGGTTCTTCTTGGTATAAAGTTTCTCGGTGATGATTTTTTTATGATTCTTGATCGTGTGTAGAATGGTTTCTGGGCGAGTGTCGGCTGGTGCTTGATCCTCTTCATCCCGACCATAATAATCTGCGTGAAATTGAGCACACTGTACTGGGCAATACACTCGTTCGCAAGGTCCCATGTCGAAGCGTAAGTTTCTTATCATTTACGTGTCATTTACACCTCCACCCTCGATTCGAATAAGTGTGAAAAAGGAAGAGTCAGTATAAAATTGGCACGATTAACCATAAAGGGAAAAGTTAAGAGCAAGAACTCTCATTACATCCAAACAATCGCTTCTATGATTTCTCCGCCAATTTCTTGCCGGCAGATTCGGAGCATTATTCTTTTTATATGTAAAAACTTGTTTGAGTTTTCTATCTCGACCTGGTAGTTAATCGAGCTTCCATATACCCATAGCATGCACTCACTCGAGCTTTTTGTAATATCTTTCGTTTTCTAGTCAAGGCATGATTCATTCTGTTGTCTCGTTAGCGAGATTATTTTTTTCGTGACCGTATTATTAAAAAAAAAGAAAAAAAAAAGAAAAAAATCTGAACGCCAGAGTGTATTAAGTCCACTTTTTTTAAAAAATAACATTTTACATACTTCTCTGGGGTCCAGAAATACAACAATGTATTCTTCACGGGCAAAGATTCAATTGTCTCTCAAACTATCTTTCATGGGGATTAAAGTCCAAAAAATGTGTACACCATGTTTGAAACTTTAGTTAACTAGTATCTCGTGTTAATCGTTGTTTTCCGAGCTTTAGAGTTTCTTGAGCAATGATTTTGACAGTGTAAAAGATGTCAGAGACAATCGAATTCCTGGCCATCACGCAGTAGTTTATATTAAGTTTAAAAGTAGCTGTGAAATATGTGGAATGGTTGTTGGAATCTAACCGCTAACACGCTCCGTTCCAGTGAATTATTGTATGACGCGTACGCAGACACGGATAACATGCCCCTTGCTCAGTAAGTATACAACGACCAAAAATGCCAACTTGCTCGCATGCTGAACTTTTGTTGTTGTTCGTGTCGCATGTTATACATCCGTTAATACCGCTGTGAACACTGCTCGAATCTTCCGTACACTATACGCAATACTTGCCTGTATCCTGGTTTACAGACATTACTGAACGATACTCCGTAAGTTACAACGTGTCGAAGCTCACGTAGACTGAACTGTAAGCCTTTTTATTTCTGGCATGGAATATCCTGGATATACATACCCTACCCGAGATACTGAGGGATTGTAAATGATTCTTATGAGTAACATTGAAAAACCTTGAGAGAATCTCCTGCCTCTGTTACTTTGATCTCAAAGATTCTTCAGTTGTCTAAACGAAATTTCACAATCACAAAGTATCTACATACATATACTATATGTATACATATACTATTCCATAGTTCTTAGTTAACTTTCCACAACTTGATCCTTTTTTTCACAGCCTTCTTTTGATCTGTGATCACTGTACTGCAGATAATATCTGAAGTGTATATGCTTAAAGACTCATTTACAATTCAAGAATTAGGCAGATTCTGCAGTCGAGTGAACATTGACTTGTAACACGATCAATTGAGGAGGTGTCAGTAACTTCTACTAAGTATCAAAGCTAGTCCAACTCTCTTCTCCAATGCATCTCTAACCAGCATCGACTAAAACGTACAGCTTCTGAACCTTTTTTTTTTTATTCCCTCTTACACGCGCAAAACAGTAATGACCTTGACGGCGTGATCTTTGAGCTAGCGCCAGGACACTAATGACACGCGTAACACCGCAGAAAGAAAAAAAATACAGCTTCTAGCAAAACAGTACACTGATTTCTCTAACTCGCATGACGAGTGGCCAGACGGGGGCCCCGATTAACCGTGACTGAAACGTGGTCTTTTAGTTCCAGTGTTCAAGACAAGAAATACATGTCGCATAGACACCATCCGTCGGCGTACGTGGAGAGCTACGACGGTCCAGCGATCGGGTACGAAAGGGAGAGGATCTCTGATGCGCGTCAAGGCTCGTCCCATCACGAGTCCAGATATTCCGACTTGGCGCCGAAGTAAGTTGCCCAAACGAGTCGCTTGGCATCCATTAGAGATCGAAACACCTCTTAAAGGAACATGGCACTCAAGTAGGAATTATCATTACAAGGGTGTTGATTGTACATAAATCTCATCGGTCTTTATCAGTAGACTGCGGATTTTATGCAGTTGAGGGGCTTAGTGAAAGAGGGACACATGCCACAATACTATAAATTTACCCGACAACTACTTTTAGGAAAAATAAGGTTAGAGCTTGTTGATTGTACAAAAAGGTAAAAACCGACGTAGGTGTGGCATGTTCCCCCTTTCATGTTTCCCCCAACAAGATAGTTAAGGAAACAAAGAAATTTCTACCTATTGTTTCTGTCTTAATGAATCACTTTATAAAATATCATTCTGCATAAAAGTACGCAGTCTACTTATCATTTCCGTAAAAAAAAAAAAGACCCGATTATGCGTGATCCTGTTCGTTTGAAAGCCCGTGTTCTCGCTAGTCATTTTACTTCGATCATCGTGTCTCATTCCTCCGGAAGAATATTCTCGTTAGCCCAGCTGGAGCCCAGAACGCGCGCGTTCCTGGGGGTTCTTGTAGATGCCTCAGGGTGTCGATTCTCGCGAATAAACCATCATCGGGGCAAGGATCGGTGGTGTTGTCGATACGACGCGAAATTCTGGGATTCCCCATTAGGTTTTACAGGGTTTCACTGGTTCATATCTCTGGTTTGTTTTGCAATTCTATACCCACCGCTCCCTCCGATACAGAACCTCGAAATAAAGTATTTAGCGTATCGATAGAAGCGCAGTAAGTCTCTTGTCCAAATTACTTTCGGATTCCGACAGTTCGTATTTTGTTTCCATTCCGCTTTCTCTGTGAAACACGTTTACGCATTCGGAACTAGAGTTGCCGGGGATAGCTACTATGAAAACCATGAACTTGGCGAAATTTTCTAGAGATCTAGGGGTCTTGTCTATAGAGATGAGTATGTTCATCCGTCATTTTGAGTCCTCTGGAGAGAGTAAGCGATGGGAAGCCTTAACCTGGACCCTCTGTAAACTTATCCGTCCGCTGGACCCAAAATAACGAATGAACATACTCATCGCTCTAGTGCTCCAATGGGACAAAACCCCTAGATTTCTAGAAAACTTCGCCAAGTTCATGATTGAAAGTAGCTATCACTAGCAATTCTATTCAGGACCCGATTGTTTTTTTACACCCTGATCACTGACCTACCACACCCCCCTTCGTTGAGTTCTTTTTTTTTTTCTTTCTTTCGCATCATCGGTGAGCAGGGTTCCCACTCATCGCGCGATATATTTCTCTGTCTCGCTCCTGCGGCTCTCTCTCTCTCTCTCTCTCTCTCTCTCTCTCTCTCTCTCTCTCTACCGGACACGCTGAAAAACATAATCAAGGATGGGATCAAGTTGGAGTATATGCCGTTTCGGTGTTACGCTTCGAGCCTGAATTTGTCCACGCGTTCGAATCACCCAGAACGGAACATTTGGAATGTCCATCGCTTCGAAGAGCATTCCTTAGACACTGCGTCCAGGCTCCAAGCGTGAAAAAACAATGATTACGAATTCCACTGATTGTCATCATTACTTATATTTTACAGACAAGTTTCTAAAATGGTTCGAGCAAAGTTTCACTGATCCTTTCGCTGTTTTGCGTTTATTTGTCGACATGGTCTGTATGGTAGACTTATCGTGAGAACGATTAGAACTTGAAAGAATTGCGATTGGAACGCATCGTTGTCTCAGGCCTATGTAGGTTTAACGTTTAATGTACCACTTGATCCCATCCGTGCAACTCATACAAGCCCCGTTGGTCACGCTTTTTCTCCCGGTTATTTCCAGGTGAGTGGGAACCTTGCGGGGGGGCAACTTCCCGCGTCTCTCGATACGCCTATGCACGTAAGTCGCAAGACCAACGATTGTTTATAAACATATGTCTCTCCATACTTCGTTTTTTTTTCCTTTACTTCTGATTTTCTTTTTTTGGCTCGACTCGATTTTATTTTGCGCCGTAAAAGAAAAATCGCTTGGCCGGCTCCTGGAGCTTTTTTGCCGCGAGAGAGCGAGGGAAACGAGTTCGATGAACCGCTGAGAGAAACACCGTCTCATCGACGACGATTTGCGTCCTGCGACAAGCTTGGGGATGTCAATCACGAATTTTTAGAAGACGCAGGAGAAGCATGTGTTCGAGTCACGTGTTGTTCATGATTACCGTTTCCGTTAAGAAAAAAAAAGTGATCACGGATATACAGAGAGTTTAGTTTCGCTTGGCGGTAAAACTTCGTCCATTCGTTCGATTCGCTAAAGGCATTACGCTGTGGCAACATATACACGCACACGCACGCACACTTCGATGTTGAAGAGTCTCTCTTTTTTCTTTTCTTCTTTTCATTCCTTTATTCGACACGTTTGACGAAGGATAGAGAATAAGCCTCTACGTGTTTATCTCTTGGCTTAATCAGGTCGGTGTTGCTTGCAGAAACTGGGACTTCCCTAATGGCGGTCCACCTAGGTACCAGCCGGTCGCGGAAGCTCCTCCGCCGTTGAGCACGGAATACGAACGACCACCTCCTTATTACTATCCTGGGCCAGGGTGAGTCTCACGGTATATTTTGAAACGCTCAAGTCACTATAGTCCAGACATGACACTTAGCTAGAAGCTTGTATCCATTGAGAAAAAGGAGAACCCTAGGCTTGACTCGAGCCTATGGGTCTTTGAGGCTTTGCTTGGAAGTTTTAGATCCTGAAGGATATTGATATTCTCCTGATCCATATAATTCTGAAGCATTCTACATTACTCGTGTACCATCCATAGACGCACTGGAATGTCGAAACGATTTTTCTTTTTTTTTTTTTCTTCTTTCAGGGGCAGAAATTAGGAAACAAGTGCCGTGGCATGCACAAAGGTAGCACTGAGTAGCGTGGCTATCCACAGTCTCACCCGCAGTTACAAAAGGACAATGAAAAAGAAAGCGAGAACCGGATGCAAGCGAGACTATGTTTAATCGCGGCGTTCCCGGTGAGCGTGCCACGGACCGTTCGAACGGAGCGAATAACAAAGTTTAAAGACCAAGTTTCAATACAGACTGAAATAGGCTTAATGGATCCTTTGGTGAGCGCGCGAGTAGTGTGATGATCTATGTGTGCGATTCGTTCCCTTCTTGGTATTATTTAAAAGACGAAAAAAGTAGAAAAAAACAAGGTATCTCCGCCTGTGAGAAAACATTATTATGTTACGTCGAATCGTCACGCGACCGGTTGGTTTTAAGTTTCAATGCTTCCTGCCGTTTTTTGTCTAGTTTTTCGTTGATCATTCGCTGTTTCATTTTAATCGAAAGACGAACCGCATAACAGAACGTTGATTCGTATCGTTTGTGCTGTATTAATTGTTAGACGATCGTTCTCAACGCACGACTGATCTTCTTCAAGCCTTTGATCCTTTCTTCCGGCCGATATCCTCGACTTTCTTTTTCCCACAGCCCTCGAAGACCCGTCCTCGAGTATTACGCGTTTTGTTCCATTCCAGAGTCGACTGGCGACTTCCGTTTTAGTCTGCGAACTCCACGAAAATCTTCTTAATGATCCTTTCTTATCCTATTAGTTCCTAAAACACAGGATTGTAATCATTGTCTGCATTAGCCAGTATTAAGTTCGTTTTTCTCCCGCCACACCTGACGTACTACGCTTCCTTTGCCCCAGAACCCACCGCTGTCTCTGAAACGTTCAGAAGACAGCGTGAACGCGTGTGTATGTACATTCAACCGCTTGTGTCTTATCGATTCCTCCTCTTTCCTAACTTTTACGCGAACCGCCTACCCGGAGCAATAACGAGAGTGCACAGAATAAAGGACGAAAGTGACAAGCGACTTGACGTCGAGACACGTCAATAATCAGCCGTGCTGGATCAGCGGACGCGATCGTGTGATCAATGGACGAAATATTAGTATTTAAAGAATCGACTTAGTGAAGCGTTCACCCTTTGCCCAAGGACCAACTAGTTCATTTCCCTTGTTTAGCTTAACATGACACCGTGGTGACGAACCTCTGACGATTTTTACGAAGTGTCTGCGTCTTGTTCCGGGTTGATCGGCTCGCAAAGGGTGACTGCTGGCTGGATATGTACCTTCTAACTCGCTCGACGCAATCGTGGATTAGCATTACGTGTCTCGTTCAGATTATTATTATTATTATTATTATTATTATTATTATTATTATTATTATTATTATATTCTGTTCACTTCGAATAACACTGCCGTCTTGAACGAAGAAAGTCGCGTCAGGCGGTTGCAAGCGTACAAAACGACCGAGCGTGTTGTGGATCGCGTCGGCTACCAGACGAGAATATGTTCGCGAGCGTTCGAACGAATGATGCTTCACCAAACCTCGAGCATACTGAACAACGCCATATTTAAATGCCAAACGACGTTCTTTGGGGTGGTCCGTGGAGTTTGAGCTTTATACATTCGGGGTGCCCTGTTCGAATTTCACGGATCACACCGCCCTTGACCTTGCCCTATCCGCAGAGGGTTAACGAGAATTTACGAAAGCTAACCCCTTCCGCCCGCCCGCCGTAACGACAGAAGCGATTACGCTTCCTTTCCCCTACGACAGTGGAGACTAGCCTCCCTGCAAGATTGTCGGAGCTACGAAATACTCGTGTATGTACATGGTTCTTTAAGTAGACGTTTTTCTTACTATTAACTTTATCGTGTAATATACCGATCTAAGCTCTTCGAGAGAAGACGGTGTTGTTCGCCGCGTTGCATAGAGGGTTCTACGCCGTGTTATGCTTGGTCTACGCGATGCGCGAACACCTTCGACAAGATAATGCAACATCCGTTCTTCGAACGTCCTAACCGCGACAGAGGAGATAAACCCTCTTCTGTATCAACGAGGAAGTACTATCGTTTTAAGTAAACGTTGATTCGAGTAGCAGACACACTGTAAATCCGACGGGATAAAATTAACTTTCACGGTGTCTGTGTTCCGCGCGCAGGCCCATTAGGCCTCCTTAAGGTTTCACACCCGCAAAGAGCAACGCATCAGGATGTTGCGGGGCCGTAGAGAGTCAGTTCGGCGCGAGTCGTTGCCTTACGCGACAGCAAGTTTCAACTTTTAACATTGTACGGTAGATTACGCCGCCCATGCTGACGTCCTTTGAATCGATCGCCAGCAGATTGCCAAAAATGAAAAAAAAAAAAAGCATTAAGAAAATCGTTAAAAAGGAGTAAGAGAAGAGCACTTTTCTCGTATTGTATCGGCACGTGGAAGCACAAAATCATTATTAGGGTGTTTTTTTTAAGAATTGGACGAGAGAAAAGGGCGTTAGGAGTAAGTGAGGATCGTGTGAAAGGGGTACATAGTTCGTAGAATGAGTGCTAGATAGATAAAAGACGAGCGAGAGAGAATGAGAACCTGCCGCGAGGAAATGACGATTTTCCGCTCTATCATTACCGTATTTACATACACGTTTATCATAGTGGAAAAGTTAAGCTACGTTTTTTAGCTGTAAAACGTCGACGTTCGTAACGGACACATATCGTCGTCGTCGTCGTCGTCGTCGCGTATACGGAGGACGAAGGAACCGCGATTGTTTCCCGTTTCTTCGTACCCTTCACCCACCTATCCCAATTTTCCGTTCTTGTGACGATCTGGGGAATCATTGCGCATGGATCGGTTCGGCCGTTTTACAAGGATGGACTGTGTAACATGTACTGGCGGCCACGTGTGTGTGTGTGTGTGTGTGTGTGTAACGTGTGACAACAAGCCGGAGAACGAGTGCCGAGAAAGCGACGATGATTGGTGCAAACCGACACGAACGGCAAAAATTCAAATTTCGTGTGCCACGCAAAGAGGCGCCTGCGAGAACCCAATTTTTCTGGCGCTATTTTTATATCGATGGATTCGGTAACCCAAGGCACTCCTTCTCTGCGCTGATGACACTCGTCTACTATGGTGCAAGATGTATCGTGGACTGGGAAAAGGAGAGACTCTTTTTATCGTCTTCTGTGCAAGAACCGCGGGACATAAGTTGAGGATTCTTTGATGTGGGGTGATGTAGGCCAGACTTTGGAAGAGACAACAGCGCATCTTTGGAATGTTGTTAAAAGAGAATCCACCTTGAGATGTCCGTACTGATACTGTACATCTGTGTTTATATAAAATAGTATCGTTGTTTTCTAACAAGATTCCGGAGATGCGATACTATCTCCACCTCTGTACGCTGCATCATTCTCCTAAGGTTATTCAGGCCGATTCATCCTTTGGTAGCAAGGGTTTCCAAATTGTAGGGAATCAATACCAAATTGCGGTTAGTTGGACCTAGGGAGGAACTTTCGGAGTGTGTAATTTAACATACAGACTAAAATGTTGTTCCGGAATTTTAGTTTAAAATTCTAATGGTATTCTGAAGAATATTATTGACAGAAAACCGGCTGGAGTATTTTCAATCTCCGAGTTTCTTCGAAAGACCTTCCACACTCGCAGAAGTCTGACGAAGTTAATATACATTACACCTGGAGGCCCTCCCGATTACCGATGGGTGATACGTGTTTCAGATGGTTTCGACGTAGAAATATTTATATTTTCGAGGATATCGCTCGAGAGAGATTCCTTACATTCTCTTGTCTGCTCAATCTTCAGGGCGCCCATGGCGTCCGGGCTGAGTGTTCTTCTTCGTTTCTTTCGCTGAACTTCAGCAGCCATTCCATCGGGTCTATTCTTGGAATTGGAAAATCCGCGGAGACATTTCACGAAATTTTCCAAGAATATTTCCCGTTCTGAAGAATGTTGAATATTTCAAACGGAAATGTGCAAGTATGCGAATGTGGTGTATATGCCGACTATGGTGTTTTTACGATTCACCGATTGTGTTTGTTAAAATTAATTATTATTGCTATTACAATGATTATTATTAATATTATTACTATTATTATTATTATATTCTAAAATGAGTGTATCACAGTTTAAATATATCTATTTTATATTAAATCATCAACGAGGCCGCAATACTATATTGCATGGAGGACAAACTGAATTAATCTCTTATAGAACGTACTTGTAGAAACATTTTTATTATGTGTTCGGGTTACGATCTCTCTCACGTACAAAACTGAATTGACATTCCTCAGTTATTTGGTGCCAGATAAGACCACTCATGAATGAAGCAATTAGCGATAACGCCCACTTTGTAGCCACTCGATTCTAATCATCAGCAATTGATCCGGCTATCTTTGCCCCATTTGCGCATCACTCGAATAATTTGCTCCACTTGTGAGTTAGAAGTGTTTTTCAGTAGCTGTATAACTTCGGGCAGTAGTTCTCTGGAAGGGAAACGATTTCATTAAATAGATTTTTAAGAAATACATACCTACCATCCAAAGCGAAAAGAAGAGTATTTTACTTGGGCTGCCTTTCAGCTACAATGTACTGAAATGTACCGCAGCAAGCACCGCGTTTCCCTTCCCAGTTCTCGGGACTAGGATCCATTCGTTCTAACATGTCGAAGGCCTTCGCTGCATACCAAAACTCGCCGACTTTGTAACAGTCGTTCGCTATTAGTTGCAGCAAATTAAACGACTCTGTAGACGTGTCCATTCTTAGGTACAAATTCCAGGCCAGCTGAGGTTTCTTGTTCATTATGTCTAAAGAAAAAAGACAAACAACACTGTATAGTACTATATAATCCTAATATTCATAGAAACTAATGTCACGGACTTACAGCAATGAGCCAGAAGACTGACGTAAATATAATCATTCTTATATTTTTCATTTCTTATAGTCAAAAAAGCTTCCTCTGCCTCTTTAAAGTAACCAGCCGCCGCTTGAGCCTGAGCATAATTAAAGTTAAAATTATCTTCGTTAGAAAAGTATGTTTTGATCGAGTTCAGATACATCAGGACTTCTTCGAATTGGCGATACAAGAAGGAACTAGATGCCATACACTGTCTGCCAGGTATGGTGTCACATTCTGAAGCTGAAGAACCTACTAGTTGGAAATATTGCTGAGCTGTTTTTATGTTATCTCGCTGAAAGTAATTTTATGTTTAATTATAATTATTGTTTGTTGAGACACCTGACATGTTACAGCTTACAGAATTAGTTTCTTGTCCCATCACCGCGTTAACAATCCCTTTTAAGATGTACTCCTGTGGAACTGCTGGTTCAAGGTCTTTTATTAATTCGAAAGCCTCTCGAACATCGTCCTGCTTCAAGTAGTAAATCACTAAATTGAGTCGAGCCTCTGGTATGACATCCACCAAGTTCGGCAAAATTTGTAATGCACCTTCTCCACCTTTGAATACCTGTAATGTATTTTTTATTTCTAAAGATTACCCCACGTTCGACGTGTTCTTAATAATACTACTTACAACTGTATTGTGACGTATAAGATCATGACTGAAACTGAAGGAGTTGGACATTTTTTCTATCAACTGTTTCATTTCGTTCTGTGCAGCAGTTCCGTTGTACATACGAAAGTGATTACACGCTTTCAGATTAATTGCAATTGCACTGTCAGTGTACTTTTGCAGGTACACTTGAAGAACTTCTTGAGCTACGTCATAGTAATCCAATTTATAGTAGCACAAAGCAACGTATACATTCAATGCAAAATACTCCCTAGAAAATGAACGTGAACGTAAGACTTTTCGGACTTTTCATCAGTATTGATCACGTTTTTATCTGCATTATTTTCTGGGATCGTGGATAAAGGATAAGGAAGGAACTGGGTACCTGGTATCCATTAATTTTCTAATCATAGAAATATCCACACTTCTATCAGACATAATAAATTCATCGAAACTACTTAAATCGTCACTGTCTGAATCTCTAGGCAAACATTTCAATCGCATTGTAAACATGTTTAACCACATAAAAAGTAAGAAAATCCTTTGATAACAACCTGTTTTCCAGCAGAATCTTTTTATAAACGTCAATGGCTTCTTGGTAATGAGCTCTAAGGTAATGAATAGATGCCAGACTAAGCTGATCCTCTATGATATCCTGTAGCATATGATTGTACTCTGTCAATTTTGCTTCATTACCCATTTTGTGTGCTAAGTGAAACAACAGTCTATTCCTCAGTTTGCTGTCTGGAGCATCCTCCAACATTTTCTGCGACTCAGGATACATCCCAAGGTAGAAATAACAACAAGCTAAGTTTGTTGACAGATCCACTGATGTCTGATCTTTCTTTCTCAAATTTTCGTAGATCGTAGTTGCACGTTTGTAGTCCCCTAGGTGAAAAGCACAGTAGCCCAGCCATAGTTCAGAGTTTAAATTGCTCTCAGATGTTCTGTTGAATTCCAGTAGTGTTAAAGCTCCGGTATAATCTCGTTTCTCTAAGAATTCCTCCAATTTAGGAATTCTTTTCTCTGATGTTGATCTTTCCGCCCCCTCAGACGAGGCTGGCTTAGCTCTTGAGAGTATCTGTTACAGATTTTTGCAGTCAATATTGAAACACAGAAGGGTTATCGAAGATAATTATCATTAAAGTAATGATAAATATTAAATAAATAGAAAATATCTGTATGTATGTATATAATTTTAACACTCAGAAAACAAAAATGAAAGAAAGAAGGAAAATACGAGACGCACAATGTAATGTTTACCATTTTCAGCTATATACTGTTGCTAATAGTTACAAGCATTTATCGATTTCCACGTGCAAGTAAAAATTTTATACATACACATTCCACATAATACTGCGTTCGTGCTAAAATATTTAATAATACACGATTAATTATTGAATCAATACGTACTTATTAACTTATTTCTTCTAAATTTCTAATAAAATTCATATTTTGAATTTAATTTGAATTTCTATAATGATCACCCACAGATGTCAGTCCGACAGCGGTAAAATTTAATATTTTTACCCAAAGTTAAAACTGTATTTCATCGTTTATCTTTATAAAATGGTAACATTCGTATGAACAGAATTTTGTAGTAAAATATTTTCATTATTACAAACTCTATGTACAAAAATTCCAATATTGTGTTTGATGTGTAAGAAAGTATTTGTAAAATTAAAGGAACTACATATTTTGCGGGTTAGTTAGCATATATTTTAAAAGATTCATCGGTTAGGGCTGGGATCAATCAAAAAATTAATTCAGTTCTTATTTCCACACAAGTTATAGGTAAACATGTTTAAAACAGACGGAGCGGTCAGGTCAGAACGGTCAGTCAAAACCCTCCTCGGAGCTCGGAGCTCGGAGCTCAGAAATACTCAGAATGCGACCGACCGTCGTGAAGGTTACATCGCCGGTAGCGTTTTTGCATTTGTTTTCGTAATGTTGGAAGGTGTCAAGCATGTTTTGTTAGTGTTGTCTGGTAAAGGTGGTGTTGGAAAGTCAACCATCAGCACGCAATTGGCCCTCGCGCTAAAGGAATCGGGATTTCGAGTGAGGTTATTCAGTATGTTACAGTGTTTCTATATAGGTTAGACTGCTTACACGTCAAAATGTTGTAGGTGGGTTTACTAGACGTCGATCTTTGTGGACCTAGTGTACCTTATCTGTTAAACTTAGAAGGCAAAGATGTACATCAATCGTCTGACGGGTTCGTGAAAGAATTTCCATAAAAAATTTCTCGTCCAACAAAAGATATATGTACTTTCCATTTTTCAATAAAGTCCATTACCTACACAGTATTTCAATTATTATACTTTACATCGACAAGGAACAATTGCTCGATTAAGAGTTTTAAATACTATTTAATTCAGTGCTATATACTCTTGTTATTGACATACTTTGGATGTTGCAGATGGGTACCAGTGTATACTGATAGAGAACAGAAATTAGCTGTCATGTCAATAGGATTCTTGTTAAAAAATCAAGATGACAGTGTTGTTTGGAGAGGTCCTAAAAAAACAGGCATGATTAAGCAGTTTTTAACTGATGTTGTTTGGCACGATATCGATTATTTGATCATTGATACACCACCAGGAACCTCTGATGAGCATATCACTGTGATGGAAAATTTAAGGTATCAGTTAGATGTATACCTTAATCTTTGTTTTATTTATTTATTAGATATTTGTATGTTCATTGCTCTCGGAAAGTTGAATATTTTAATGCATAGATCTTTGATATTAGTAATGTCACGTGTGCTCTTGGTCGTTCACATGTGACTGTGATTAAGCATCATGTGATGTCCAAACGAAACTTAACTCTAGACAGATAAGTAGTTGGTCATGAGATTGATAAGCAAATATATTCTGTTAACACGCATACTCTAAGAGGAAATTCATAAACATCATATTATTATATAATATGTAAGGATATTTCATAATGAGTAGGTAGATAATGATTTTAAATAAAAAGAGAACATATTCTGTAGAAATGTGAAATGTGATGGAGCACTTATAGTAACCACTCCACAAGCAGTTGCAGTTGATGATGTTTTACGGGAAGTAACATTTTGTAAAAAAACTGGTATTCCCATATTCGGTATTATTGAAAATATGAGTGGTTTCGTGTGTCCATCATGTTCAGTAAGTAAAAGAGTACATTCTTTTATCTTGAAGTATCCTTTTATTATCTTTAGAAAGAATGATCATTTCAGGAATGTACAAACATATTTTCTGCTGGTGGAGGAATAGCTTTATCAAAAATGGTAAATGTACCATTCTTGGCAAAAGTGCCTATAGATCCACAAGTTGGAAAACTGGCAGAGACTGGTCAAAGCGTTCTGGTGACATTACCAGATAGTCAGGTAGCACAGGTGTTTCGGAAGCTAGTCGAACAAGTTACTAAAAGCAAGGAAGCATAAGAGTGAGACCATGGATACCACCCATACATTTCCCTGTGACCTATAGTACTTGCTTGTGATATTTAAAGAGTCTTTCTGCTTTAGAAGGTTGCAAAAAAATCTGATTCCTTTTCATTGTGTTTTCCTCAGACTCGTATCATGATCGTATAAATAAATAAAAGAAGCTATAGTATTTAAGAACACTGTATATAGATTTTTTGAAAAGGCTTTAAAAACTGCCTACATATTACGTGCTAAAGAAGGAAGGCTCCTTAAATTAAACTTTAGCCCTTTGTGAGCGAACATTATTTTGAATTGTTTTATGGTAGGTGATATGTATTCATTTGAAGAATTATTTTTCTTACGGAAAATATAATATATGTGTATATCTCTTATCATTGTAAAGAAGAGGGTATGTAACTGTAAAATCACATATAAAAGTAATTCGCAGGGTCGCAGAGGGTTAATATAAATCACATTCTACAAAATGGGTAGAAAATACAAGTACAAATACAACGAGTTTTACACGATAGCATTTACACGAGGTACAAGTTACCGAATTTTTTAATGTCACGGGAAATACAGTATAAAAGTGTACGTGTGTATACGGTCAATAATAGAGAAATAGCAGGGTCGAAAATTTTGCGAGATTGTAACTAATAGTAGCGCAGGTCTTCAAAAACCTGATCAAACAGCAGAGTTGGCCAAATGTAATCTAATTACAAAATCTAAATAATTGCAGTGTAATTGCAGTATAATTACAATTACATTATAATTTTTATTGTAAATTTAATATAGTTAATTACAGTGTAATTGTAATTGCAATTGTCTTGCAATTACATTGTAATTGTGATTTGAATTTTGTATATCGATTACATTTTGCCCAATTCTGCCCAACAAGAATCTACGAACCCACTGGTATGTATACCATTTTTCAGTCTTCAGAAAAATTAGACAATGGACGGGATCTAGCTCCTTTCAACTTTCCTCGTTGTTTCAATTAGTTGACCGAGTAATCAAATTTTTCTTTTCGTTCACTTTACCTCATTTACGACTTCTGTTTTCCCATTGTTGACCGTGTGTTCAATACTAAATCGGCGTCAATAGAAACACGCAGGTATAATTTAATGTTTTTTTTTTTTTTTTCTACAAACGTGTGAATTATAATGGATCAGTGAGCCGTTGTATGATGTACATACATCAATATCTTTGTTTATGTACGCATCACTTTATTTACAATCCTTCCGAATTCGTAGTTACCTAATTATTTACAATTTATAACTTTTACGCACGTGTTTCGAAAATAAAATAATATATATTTTCCTCTTATTTTTATACACATCTGTTCCCGAGTGATAGGAAATACTGTTTATTTTAATCGTTCTTCGTAAGCAGCCCAAAGTTCCTTTTTATATTTCAAGGTGGCAGTCAACTTATCGTCTGCCTCGGTAATACCTCTACCAACGACAGCCAGATCTGCTCCAGAATTTACTACAGATTGTGGAGTATTGTACCGCTGTCCCAAGTCGTCGGAACTTTTGGCTAGCTTTACTCCAGGCGTTAATTGAACAAGACCTGGATTCGTAAAGATATTTGACTGGCAAACGATGCCAGTCACCATGTTCGAACTCTGTGCAATTAATAGCGCGTTCTGTACATAATCACCGTTTGTTAAAGCACCCTTGGAAGACATTTGAGCTAATATGAAAATGCCACGTGGTTCGTTAATATTTTTTAAGCTATTTTTCAATCCGTCTACGATACTTTCACCCGCTACTGCGTGTACAGTAACAACATCTGCCCATTTCGCTATTTTGTATATGCCTTTTTCATATTGTAAAGATACGGTGTTACCGATATCAGCGAACTTACGGTCCTCCATTAACAGAAAATTATGTTTCTTAGCCAAATCTTTCAAGCGTATTATAAAATCATCGTTAAAATCTTCTATTATATCTACGTGCGTTTTTAATACTATAATGTGCGGTCCTGTTAAATCAGCTAATTCTAAAATAGAGTCTGCTTTAGTTAAGTCTGCCGCTAAACATAAAGTAGATTGCTTTGCTTCCATTAGGTTGAATATTTTAGAAGCAATTTCATTTTTAGTCTTAGTTGCTCGTATATGGAATGGTATCTTTACCCGTTTTTCTGGAACTATATGAAAGAACAATTGATATCAGTTCAGTTTTTCAATATAGAAGTGATTGATCGATGTAAGAATTCCATTTACCTGGAATAGAAATAACAGGAGCTTGATATTTTGATAAATAATCTGTCACATCTTTTACAATCTTTGGTGTAATCTTGTTAGCTTCTAAAAGATAAGCTAAGATAGTGGTAATCGTGTACAAACTTTTCATTCTAATTCCATGATTTTCAATGTTTTTCCTGCCACCTTGTTCCCTGTTGATTACCACAAAAGTGTCTGTAACTTCTAAACCTTGGTTTCTTAAAGTGTGTACAGTTTCTAGAATACTGCTACCACTAGTAACCACATCCTCAATAATTACACAATTATCTCCCTGCTTAAATTGGCCTTCTATCATTTTCATTGTGCCATATGGCTTTACTTCTTTTCGTTTGATTAACATGGGTATGTTAGAATCCATAGAGATCAAAGTGGCTAGTGGTAGAGCTGTATAAGGTACACCACAGATTTGAACTATGTTTGAACAGTCTTCAGAGAATTTCCATAGTGCCTTAGCCAGGCGAGCCTGCACATGATAGAAATTATAATGTCTCCTTTAATTCAGTGAAAATAATTTGTTTTATCCGGATCATACCTCTTGAGAACGCAATATAATCAAAGTAGAGAATTTACATTTATTATAAGTGTTGAAATTAGTAAAACTTACCATAACTTTTGGGTATGAGACTATGACTCTCAAATCAAAATATACGGGAGTTTTCAAACCAATTTTTGTCACAAATTCTCCGAATTTGAGTGCATCGATTTCAAAGAGTGCAACAGCCAATTCTCTTAACTCAGTGTCCATGAAGCTCGAATTTTCCATGATTTATACTTGTTCAAACACACGTGGGAACTGAAAACACGATACACAGGATGATGTGAAAATCATTAAGGTTAACTCATTACATCGATGATGTGGTTGATTTTATTTCAATCTATACTTTCAATACATGTATACACAGTTCCATTTTAGACAAAAGTTGAAGATAAGTACCAAATAATTATATTTAGTGTCAGAATTAGTGGACCGGGATCTTGTAAGCACTGGTAAGCACTGGTAAGCACTGCGTGTTCAAATCGGAACTGATCGGAACTGATCGGAACTGATCGGAACAGTTTGATCTGGTTTGATCTCTAATGATCTCTAACAAGGGATCTTTCGAGGTTCTTCTGATACATCGATTCTGTTAAGATAAAAAATTTAAATTCTTTCGCGCGCTAACAACACATTGTAATTTCTCAAATCATTCATTTTTCATCAAACTTTGTTCTAATCATGTTTTATTTTAAAAATAAACTTTACTACACGCATGACTCAACAGTTAGCATCAAGTCAATTTTATAGATCGTGGAAAAGGAATTGCAGAGATTAAAATCAATGTAGTATCAAGTATATATATTAATAATATTTCTTTATTTTCTTGAATCAATAGGTATAAGTGAATATAAGTTCGTATAAGTGAAAATTTAATGCTCATTACCGCACCACGTGCGACAACAGAAAAAATCCAGTATCTTTCACTTACAATATACTTATTTTATTTATTTCCCCAACCCCATAGACCTTTAACGAATCCTGTAAGAGCAGCCTGGCCCCCCTTCTTGGTCTGGTCACCGAGTTTCGCACTCAAATCTGGGAACTCGACCATATTGAAAGCTAAATCGAAGAACAACGGTTTGCACGGAATAGGTTGCATTGGCGGCGGTAATTTGTAAACGTTTGGTTGCTTCGTAAGAAGAGCAGGATCTTCTCTATACTCGTGGAGACGTTCGTACAAAGGCTTTTTTGTTTTCGTGTACTTGGTTCCAGGTTCTTCTTCCTGTCCCTCTTCTAATACGCTGTGTGCATGGGCGGTGTACTTTGCACCTTCTATGGATGTCTCCAGTTTTTCGAGAGACTCCTTCAACGAATCTGGCAGTATGTTTCCATAACTGAGTGCATCTTTCATATGCTGCAAGGACCTCTGATATAGAGCCATTGCTTCCCTCCATCGGTGAAGATTCGCCAAAGACTGGGCCATGTAGTAACACCTGAAAGCCCTGTAACTCTTCGTCTTAGCTTCCTGTTCGCGTATAAACTCGTCATCTTCTTGTAACTGTGAAATTTCCACGAGATTATGGAGAGCTGCTTCATACAGTCTCACGATGTTCTGTGGCTTCGCCTTAGCAGACTCCTCCGCGGCTTTAATTAGTGCCAAATTCCTCTCGAGGGTGCGCGACAGTCTAATGTACTGTAAGTAGGTTACTAAGTGTTGTGGTGGTGTTTGTTTGTCGTTGTCCTTGTTCTTAAGCTCGTTCTTAAAGAAGTCTCTCACTGCTGAGATGGCATCCTTACAGTCTATCAGGTGCGCTTCCAGTAAATCGATTTTAGCTTGAGTGGTAACCGCTTTTTCTAACGTCTGATTCAATCTCGAGTCTGCAATTAAAAGACCAGCTGCTCTGGGTGGCACCACACCACAAGACTTACCACGCCAAATCACTTCCTCGGCATTGACCTGTTTTTCTCGAGTCTGAGCTATCAAAGAGTCCAAGCTAGCTAGCAGTTCTCCACTCAACTGACCTCTCATTTGCATTAAATCGTCTATAGCAGTGGTATCTCCGATATTGTAAGCGCAGTATCTAAGGCTGGGAGCAAGCTCCTCTACCCGAGCGTTATACATTACTTGCTCCGATTCCGGCAGCGCAGAAGCCAACTTCCCATATACTACCTGAGCTTTCTTTAGATTCTCCATAGCGTTTTTCCATAGTTGTAATTCAAAGTGCAAGGAACCATGTATCCAGGCAACATATGCTTGAGCTTCTAACTTTGTTCTCGCGTCACAGTTAACATTCTGTGAAAATTGGTTGGTATGAGAAGTCAGTACATTGATAAATCAAAGAATTTATTTATGTTACCTCTATTAATTCTTGTAACTGCAGGGAATATGTAGCAGCTTTCCTTAGTCTAGAGATCAAATGGAATTTTTTCCTTGGCTCCGTATTAGATTCCTGACGCAATTGCATAGCATAACTCCAAGCACGTTCTGCCATCATAAGGGGAACTTGTAGAAATTTGTCATCGCTCACCATGACAGGTGTTATATCTTTCCGTTTAAAATGACGTCTGTCTCCCTGTGGAACTTTTAATACTTTCCTTAGACGTCTTAGTCTCCTTGAACAGTAACCACGGTACCGTTGATAATCCCCATGTCTTAACCCATGTTGCTGCTGTGCTTCTTTGATTATTTTTAAAACTATTTGCTTGCTAAAGGATCTTACAATTGGACAATGTTCCTAAAAGCTACAAAAGGTGATTGTTCGTGTTGCTTAAAAAAACAAAGGAAAGGTCTATAACAATAACAACTGAAAAATCTGTTTATAATGAATTCCCTTTAAGAAATATGGTGGGAAGCATCAATGCCAGTGGAAATATAAATAAAAAACCATTTTTATTTGGTAATAACTAATCTGTACACTGTCATGATTGTCCGTACAATAATGGAGAGATATTTTTTTCTCATTACTTTGAAGGATGAGAGAGGTATACGTTATTAAAGGGCGCGACGTGACAAACAGAGGTTAGGCAACGACATATGGCATTGACAGAATCATCGATAACTCCTACAAAAAGCTTGCTGGAAAAGGATACTTTCCAACGAGTACGCCTTCTGTTCCTTCGGCCCTGTGGAGTCATTTACTTGGTTCTCTTTCGATAACTCGGTACCTTTCTGCTTGATCACCATCGTCTCGTAACCACCAGTAACCACGTATCTAATTTTCACCAAGCTGAGCCTAACCAAACCTTTGCCTCTGTCGGCAACCAGCTTGGCATCCTGGCAATCCTGGAATCCCTCATCCCACTCCGTCGCTCGGCGGCACGCCGACGACGCAATACATACGGTGTCGCGTTTACCCTCGCATACTATTCATTGCTATTCATCGCAGAAAGTACGGTGTATATGTTTATGTTATTGTCTTAATAAAATGCTTCAGTGTTTTTAAATATTTTTAGTTATAATCAATTAGGTTTCGTATCATGGTTAATTCATATTGAACATAAGTAGTTATTAAATAGTTATGCAAGTAGGGATGTATAGGATCGATACAAGTATAATAAACACGAGTACATTACTCGATATTAGACAAAATCTGGCTGTGCATGTCGATATTGACTGGGACATCAAGATGACTGATTATCAGTCAGAGTGTAAAATGCTATATCTAACAAAGTCAATGTAATGAAGTTAAATTATTAATTGTCTAGTAAATTGAAATAGGTTTATATAACTATATACATTGCAGGTTGAGCTTTTCTGTTACTCCGTATCAGTAGCATATAAATAAATAATATATTCCTGGAAAAATAGTCGCATTGGTTCAGTTTTTGATACGTACATAATATTAAGATTAAGATTATCAAGAAATGCGTACATCCAGCCCACCCTATATGTCGCTGCGTCGCTCAAGTAAACGGACGACTGGTGGGGCAAACGCGCGGGAAAAGAAAAAAATGACTCCACAGGGCCGACGAAGGAACAGAAGGTGTACTCTTTGAAAAGTATCCTTTTCCAGCAAGCTTTTTGTAGGAGTTATCGATGATTCTGTCAATGCCATATGTCGCTGCCTAACATGCCATATTGCAATTGCTTCCACAGTAAACTGTGATAATAACTCATAGTATTAACGTCGTGATAATGAATCTTCATAGCATAATGGACCATTTCTATATATTTAATGTAGTACTCTTTTATTTGAACAGTTCCAAAATCTTCCTAAATTTAGTCTCTATTCACAGTTTAGGAAATTTATAATAACGAATGTCATTAATGATAATTATCAGTGATCGATATTACATCAGTACTAAAGTAATTTTTTTATGCACTGAAGGCAATTAATTAGCTTTTTTCGGGTCTCCCGCGTCCATAGATGCTTGCACTTCTGGAGTATGTGGCCATGCGGTAGGTTTATCAGGATTAATAGCTTCCTCTGGATGTATATCCCTAAAATCTTCCAGTGTCATCTCTGAGTACGGTAATAACTGCTGGATTTTTTCTATTTCAATTTTTGCATTTTCAATCATTTGGTTGGCTTCTTGTACAAAGTTGTCAATTTGTTTAAGCTGTAATAGAAAATGTAATATTACTGGGTAAGAATTATTTTAAAATGTAAGATATGAATGATGACATAGTAAAAATTTTATTACAGTTTCCTTTTCTTCAGATTCAATATCAGCTGTATATTTGTCAGCTGGGTAAGGTATCGACAATGCTTCATATTCTTTCTGAAATTTATCTACTAAACCGGGAGTCGTGATAGTTCTCTTGTAGTATGACCAATCAATTTTTGGTGGTGATTCTGGGTTAGCTGTCATTCTGCAAAACATGCAACAATGTATGTATTTCAGATGTTCAAACATATAACAATGTACTGTATGTGTTCTGTCATATTTTCATGTGTTGTTCTTCCGTGAGTTCAAAATATCTACTACTTTTAGACGAACGGTCGTTTACCAAATTTTTCATAACCAACTTCAATCGACAGCCCGATAGTGAGTTAATAGACTTTTAAACATGTTTCTAATAAAACCAGCAGAAGATGTTAAAGGTTTCTCGATGCGTACACAAGAAGAATTTAAACTAATTTAATCACTGTAACAGTGGAGTTTTACGCAGGCATCCGGACATTATGTAACACATTTACCGTGGATCGATTTTTACTAACCGTCGTAAGTACTGATCTGATTTAGCCCTAAATGTAACGTATACATTTTTTTCAGATTCCGGAAGTCGCTCAAGAAGAGCCGCCCAATTAATCGATTTGATAGCTCTTCGTGACATCTCTCCTTACCAGTCTTTACGCTAATGCAACAATGCAATGCGAATCTCGTTCGAGGACTGTACTACGAACAATCACGAACAATGTGGTACACGGCAGGGGGGTTCCACTCTAATAGGACGACTGTTAACACGAGTTTAGTACCCCCATATCTCAGAAGGGTGCTCTGAAAGCAGTTTTAATTCTCGAATTTTGTGCTAGGTGGCACTCACAGCGTTATTAAGTGGGGATAGTAATTGACCCGATTTCCCGGGCGTAGTGGGAGGACACTGGTGGGCACTCTAATTTCCCCTCTGTTACATAGTACGGTTTCTTTGGTACATCATTTAGTGATTCAGTATTTAAACTGATTTAAATGAGCAGATTCGCAACAGTTAATTTGTAGTTACATATATTATTAAACGGCATAGTTGCGACTGTAAATAATGCGATTGTGCTTCAGTGTATGTACATACATACATACATACATACTTTCCAAATTGACAAGTACCTATACATATATGTAGTACTTATATTGTTATTATTCCTGTTTCACGATCGGTTTGAATCTGCTGTCCACGGTCAATTCTGTCAGTCAGTGTGTGGTTAGAAAATTTATAATTGAATAATTATGCATCTTTATTTCAGATTTAATATTTTAGCCATGAAGGTTTAATGTGATTACTTTAATTCGATGGAATTTCTACATAGCTTAAAATAAATCCAACGCTCAGAATGTCCGGGAAGGAGGGAAATGAATCTATTGCACAAGAAATTCCTGGTAAAACGGAGGAAACAGGAGAAAATATAACGAACGAAGACGCGCCAGTCAGCCTCGAAACCATTCCCCCCGAGACTCTTCTAGTTCGAAATGAAGTTCACACCATTTCCAAGGATAAGGGAAAAAGTAAAACGTATAATTTTTTAGTGTACACGCTATACAAACATAAGAATTTTCTTACAGTGTAATGGATTTTTCAGTCGATATATTATTAAAAGCAACTGGTAATGCTCCGATAATGAAACAAAAAAAGTGGTCTGTTAGCCAAGATTTCTGTATCGGCAGAATTTCAGATTTTGTCAGAAGGTACCTGAAATTGGACTCTAATGAAAAACTGGTGAGTACACACACAGAATTATATGTATCATAGTTTTCTTCTCAATTGTTTGTAATATAAATACATACTTTTATTTATCAGTTCCTTTACGTAAATCAGACATTTGCACCTGCACCAGATCAAGCTGTCAAAAACTTGTACGACTGTTATGGTGCAGATGGAAAGTTAATACTTCACTATTGCAAAAGTCAAGCTTGGGGATAAACCACGAATCTTTAAACCATACATTTTGTGTAAGTGTATAGAATTATTTAACAGTCATTCTCTACAATTATATCTGTCATATCTTACATTTACAGCATACTTCAACAAGTACCTAATCCGTATAACATACATATATCGACAGAGTTTCTGTAAATGTTGTAATTTATAATTTTATTACATCAGATTTGCACGGAAACTAGTTGGATTTCTTTACTTCAGACTTCCAAACTTAAAATCTTTTCACAGTTCTGTAAGGTTTGATTTCGTAATTTTTCGTTCAAAATAAAAATCGATCGATCCCTGAGGTCAATTTGAATTTTATTGGAAAAACTTTACAATTATCCTCAAAGAACACTCGAATTCAAGGCATAGACACACTACACACCGTATGTTCGAAATGTCCGCCTTTTTTGTTTGTATGCACAATTGCAATCTTCTTTTGAATGACTCGCGGATATTTTGGAATAACCTTTTGTTTGTATTCATATCCGTACATACGCCGTTCTTGGTTGTATATGTATGTATATCGTCTCCGCATTTTGACTTTTGATAGGCAATTGTATGCCCGCAATTTCAGGAAAAGTAAAATCTTTCGTCTTCTCGTAAATATAATCTCCATATTAGACACACAAGAAGAAGAACACACGCGAACAAAAAACCACAATAATACAGAAATATTTGACATGTAGTAACCACCTTGTGAAAATGTACTAAATCTTCATTAACACCCATGATGTATATGTAACAAGTTGATTGAAATGGCACGATGATGAATGGTGAATGGTGAATGGTGAATGGTGAATGGTGAATGTGTATATGTATATGTATATGTATATTTGCATATTTGCATTGAAATTCTCGCGAATATCATCATGATTTACAGTTTTACCATACAGCGCGATTATGACATTAGTTTTGTCCTTCCGCATCTTACCCACGCAATGTACAAATCGTAGTCGGCATTTCAAATCTGTTATCGTTTGTCGCGCTTGACATTTCATACGGCCGTTTCCACAGAATTATCGCACCGTCTGCGCTTACCGTGATTATAAATTGACCATTCGGCGAAAAAACGCAGCCAGTAACAGGGGCTGCATGAGCGAGACCAACTGCAACAATATTTGCGGTACGATATTCCCAGAGTTTCACAATAAAATCATCGGATCCGGTGAGAAAATGTTGTCCGTCGTAATTCACAGTTATAGCATTTAGCGTGGCAGTCGTAGAACCTTCTACTTCCCGCACCAGCGAACCATCCAATGTCTCCCAGTAAGCTATCTTACGATCCGTACCGCACGTTAAAGCTTGGACACCGCTAGGGAGGAAGCACGTTGCCATGAACATCGTACTTGCCCGCAACGCGAATTTTCTTGTAAAATTCCTACGTGACAACATATACATGTACATACATTATTCGCGGTGGAATAAAGGATGCGATGGGGATTAATCGTTCGGCACGGCACACACACACACAGTGCCGCTCCGATATTACTACCTCGTGTCCCATATTATGCATGTACCATCTGTACTGGAACTAATTAGATTTTTATCATCGGACGAAACGTGCAACGATGTGATCGGACCTCTGTGCTCTTTCAAAACGTGTAACAATTGTCGCATTTCGGATTTTGCATTCCATACACGCACCTGAATAAAAGCACGATGAAATCAAAGAGCAAGTAAGGTCTCTACACAGCAAGCAGGATTTCTCTATTCGTGGAATGGAATGCTCCTAGGTTCGCGCGTTTCTGTAAGTACTCTTAGTGTAAATGTTCACCATTCACAATACCTGACCATCGCAGCCACCGCTAATGAGTCTGCAATCGTCGTTCGTAATTGTAATCGCAGACACGGATCTTGTGTGCGCTCGATCGATGACAAATAGAAGATTACCGCCGTTCAAAGCAAATCCTCGTATCGCTCCGTCGTCCCAAGCTTTTGTCCAATACACAATAGGGGATAGCACATAAGGAGAGAACGTTTGAATTTCAAATGCTAAAAGTGTTACACAATAATAAACTCACCAGATATTATAGTACCACTGTTCCGATCGAAACAGAGGCTTGAACAAATGAAATTTGGAACGGTGATTCGAAGCAGTTCCTTTTGCGTTTTCAGTTTCCATACTCGAATATCGTGTTTACTAGTTGTTGCAAATATCTCTGAACGGTTCCTGCAAACACGATTCGCTGAGCAAATGTTTGCTATCGGCCCGCTTACCCCTGTACTATTATGTATGTGTCTGCTGTGACGAATAAATGATTTACAAGCGCGGTTTACCGTGGGAAAGCAAGATCGTATATGGAACTGGTGTGACAAGTGAGGAGCAAACGCGTACGAAAGCTCGACACTTGGATTTCATAGATCTCGCACTGGGATGTTCCCACCAATATAAAATCATCTTTGTACTTGATCATGGATGTCACGGTGCCGCACACGTTTCCTGTTCGATGCTATTGACAAAAGTAACATTGATGTTGGCTCTCGTTAGATCGAATAAGTTCTACTGTTTGATATTTTTCATTTCCTTCAACCCCGAATGCGATACGTACGCGCATCGCCTCTTTGATAAGTACAACATATTGTACATATGTATGTATGCATACGCATTACACACATACGTATAAAATAACATGTATACCTAAATACATAGAGATACGTACAGGTAGATACGGGGGTGGTCAGGCGCGATCAGACAATGAAATAAGCGAGCACAACCTTTTTCGCATTCGAGAAAAAGGGTCTTGTCCCGTTTACCGTTATTATACATGGTAGAACTAGTAATTTCCTCGATCCGTTTCTCACGGGTGTAGCATCCGTTGTTATTAGTTCGATTAATTCGATCGTTCCGTCTCCAGCACCCACTATTATTTTCTCCTTTCGCAAAAGCAACAAATTCTTCACGCCACCTGCGTATACGTGTACCGCTCCCTCTTCGCGTGTCCTTTTTGTTTTCGTTGCACGCGGTACTTTTGAGTAACATCCAGTCATAATTGGACACAGGTGTAATTCCGTCGCATTTAACCTGCGTATGAAATATTATAAGGGATTCGTGAAAAAACGAAATTAGAAGGAAAAAAGAAAATAGCATCTTAATTAAACGACCTTGCTTTAATGATATCGCCAGACGTTGTTCCACAATAGATATATTCGTCTTTCTCGTCAACAGCAATACAGTTAATGTCACGTCTGATCTTTCCGATCTTAACATCGATCCCTTGGAGTTTTCGTTCTTTCGGATTCACAAGCCAAACCCTGAAGGTTCCTTCACCGGCACTGATGAAACTTGCGTTATGAACATTCGTGCGTGCAATCGTGAAAGCAGTTCCCGACATTTCTTTACCAGCGAAACTACCTAGACAGTGAGTCACGAAAGAAAAATTTCATCACAAAATGAACTGAAAACGACCCGAATGAAATGAGATTACCACAAAGTGGATTTCCATTTTGAATGTCCCACACTACGATGTAACCGTCGTCTCTGCCTCCAAGACTAATCAGATATCGTTCGTCTCGCGTAAAGCACACATCCTCGACTCTTACTTTGTGCATATCGTAACTAGCTTTTAGCTTACGTTTCTCGTAATCCCATATTATAACCATTGCCTGTAACAAGAATAATATTCATCTGGATTATTCAAACCGAGGTCCGCGCAGAGTCAACCGCAACGAAGAAAATTTATCGTGATTATACACATACCTTGAAACCATGGTGGGCTACTTGACCTGAAGCTATAAAATTTCCACAAGGTGAGATACACAAAGCGGAAACTAAATTTGTATGACCTGCAAGGAATGTCTGTTCAGTAGTTTCTATATTTTTCATAGTAACTTTGTTGCCCATCGGGTATACAAGATGTTCTCCATCCGGATGTAAACGCAATCCATTTCTTATGATACCTATGAACGTGCGTAAAGTACATATAAACAAGTGTACGTACATACATCACGAAAAGAAAAAGATTAATCAAAAGTAGCGGACAATTTTTATAATTTTCAGAGATATGGATGTCATAATGAAAGATAATAGGCACTGACCGTCAAATGCTATTACTCCGAATATTTCGAGTTGTTTCATGTTCACAATAGAAAGTACGTTTTACATGCGTTTGAATGTAACTTTTTATTCACTTTATCGACCAATTAATTGTTCCGTATACGCCCTATATGTATCTAAACAACGAGATCAGCCGAATAGTAATTCGTGGCGTTGTCATGACAGTCTTTCAAATAAAAGTATCTTGTACTTATCTCTATGTATCAGGACAACGCATGGAAACTGGCAGCGTGGGCATAGCAAATGGCAACTACAAGCCGTATGTACATATTGTAATTATACTTATAAATGGAACCTAAAGTATAGTATTTACATGCATATGTATTTATTTCAAGGGATAAAGGAAATGGCACCAAATGGCACGGTATGGCTAGTGATAGCTTGTAACGTAAACGTCGGTAAAGTAGTTCACAAGTAGCGACAACAGTTCGTGATGCACTACAATACCGATTGTCTGGTTTCGTCGTAGTACAAGATTGGTTAAACTGGTTAACACTAAACGAGGCGTCGTAAACGCTTGTTTACATTTGCAACGATCATACTGGATCATATTTGTATGAGCACAGATAAGTACAGATATTAGGTATCTTAGCGCGCCAAATACGGGGTGAACCAAGTTTTCCAAGTGTTGCTACTTTACTTTACATATCTTTTCGAGAGGAATTCAACACTTTGTCTGAGAGATCATGGATTTATTACCGTAAGTGACAATCCGAGAGTCGACAACATCTTGTGTTATGGTCGATGATTGTACGTTCTAATCTGAGTAGTAATACCGCTGTCATTTAACTGTTAACTTTTATTCAGAGAGTCGACTTCAACGTTTTGGAAAGCCGGCAGATTACAAACGTTTCAACACTGGCCCTTTCAGTCGTCTGATAATTCCTGCAATCCTGAACGAATGGCTGCCGCTGGATTTCTTGCCGTTGGCGGCAAAGATGAACCAGATTTGGTCGAATGTTTCGTTTGTTCGAAACAGCTCGATGGTTGGGATCCAGACGACGATCCATGGTACGCAAATTTTTATCATTGTTTCTCAACAGAGTTAATGCTTATCGTTTCCATATATTCCCTTATTTCCCATGAATTATTTTCAGGGCCGAACATAGAAAACACCAGTCGCAATGCCCATTTGTAAAACTAGGCAAACCCAACGAAGCTTCATGGACCGTGCATGATCTGTTTGATTTATTTAAAAAGTATACAGTAAAAGAATGCGTGAGTATCTTTTGTACTTTTAAGAAATTTATGTACCATATATTCACATATATGGTAAACAATAATGTACGTTTATAGACGCACAAATTGGACAATGTTAAAGCTAGAGCAAAAGACGAAAGTGCAAGAGGCGCAAGCGAAATACCTCAAATTTATAAAGGCTTGAGGAAAAGTAACAAGGGATCGAGTTAATGTTAGGTATTAATCAGTTTTTCTTTGTATCTTTTTCTCCGAGTCTCGTTATTAACGCTGTTATCGTTTTATTTTGGAATAAAATCTGACCACTTTCTTATTTCTTTTACCACATGTTTTCTCATAAAACTAATATTTCTTCTATGCAGATAAAGTCGTTGTACAGTTAGAAAAAATAGTGATATTTCTGTCGATACCAATTTAATATTATAAAAGAAGACGCGGCCTATCGCGATCGAGCAATTGTGCGCTATCTATTGTCAAACTTGTTTGATTTTATCACAATGACACTTCATTCCATGCTATTAACAGTGACAGCTATTCATTATCATTGATCACGTGTGATCATCGACGAACGAGATGGTATAAATTTTTGTAATCGTACGGTCGCTGTTTCACACATCTTTGCGAACATTATATCGTAAGTTGTGGAAACTGCATTCTGTGTTTTTTTCATGCGCGCGCGCGTGTGTGCGTGTGTGCGTGTGTGTGTGTGTGTGTGTGTAAGATATTATGAACACTGCATTCGATAAAAACTGCATTTTTATAGGAAACAATTTGTGTCGCTTATGCAATCGTAATCGACTGCCAATGGATATCGGAGTACTGTCAATGTTTTCTCGTGGCAAGATATTGTTACTGTTCTCATTTTTTCCCTCAAGGTATCAGTCTATGCATAACAAAATGTTGGAGGAGTTAACTTCCCTATTCTATGGTATCTATGTGTATCAGGATTTATACCACCAGCACACTACACCAAAACAATATATCGTTTATCGGAGTGTCGGAGTTCGTTGCAGATCGAAAAACGAAAATTTCTGATGCTTTCGATTCTTTGGAGAGTCATCAGGATTGTAGTAGTCTCATCTTGGAATTTTTGTGCAATCGACGTAATTTGTCGACGATACTTATCGCTGCGGTAATATGATTGTAGGAAGCTTTTTATACACTGTATTTGCTGGGTATTACTCGCGTGTTTGCACCGCGTATGAACTATACTCGATATTTATTATCAGGTCGGTTTAAGCCAATGGCTTATTGGATTACTGATAGATCTGTTGTAATTAGAGGATTCCCGTTCAACTGTTTTAGTTCAGCTTTTGCGCCGTTTCGGTGAAGGATAACCGATGAAAAATAAGGTTGCTTCGGAAAAACGAATGAATTTGCTTAGGAAGAGGTATTCAGCAGCGCAATTCAAGAGAACACGAACGATATTATACATACATATATGTATAAGAAAGTGCACGTATGTATATACATACACATATACGACCGGATCAGATTCTCTGTTTTTCTGATCGTTAGAACACCCCCACTTGATTCATCGTTCGCTTCGTGCTTGATTTAATTGAATGCCGATATCTATCCATAGTTAGAGTTAGATGGATGTATGGGACACCCGTAAAATATCAAAAACGAGTATACATGTATACATATATGTATACTCGTCGCGTTATCATTTCCCCTCCCGGTTGGTTGTACCTCCTCCGTGTCAACTTTTACCAGTGCTACGCTGCTTAGTCTCTTATCCACATTTCCTTTCCCTTTTTGCGTCCAATGAAGAGCACGTGCACAAGTATAAAATGAATTCGCACAGAGAGCGTCGATTCAGTTACTCGCACCATGTGACCGAGGTGTATGCACGAATCACCATACCGTCCACACTTTGCGAACGAATATCAAGTTTGTTTTTTCGTTTAATCCTCGATTCTACGTTTTTCGAGCGAAAAAGAAAAAGAAAGAAAGCGAGCAGTCGGTGCATGCAATTTGTGCAAGAGTTAAGATCATCCGCCACCGAAGAAACTGCGCTGGATCGCCAGTTGTATAGATACATTTCTCCTATTCTCTTCGAACAGTCGGGTTTCGAAGAACATATTCGACGGAATGATATCTGCTTGGAAAATATTTTGTAAGTACTCCTCAAAGTGCTATCATATGTTTATACATATTTGTATTTAATGGTCGCGCGACACGTTGTTTACCTACATACAGTGCATACAACACCCTTCACAGCCCTCGGCAGTTATTTTACCATTACTTCTATGTTTTATAGTTGCTTCTCGTAATAATTATACATACAAATACAAGCAGCACATTTATAATACAATATAAATAGAAAATTACAATTTGATATTGCAGCAGGTGATCAGATTAAGTATATATCCATTCTACTACTATGCATGTAGGTACATGTATATGTATGTATATGTGTATATGTGAACGTATCCCGCGCAGCATCAAATACAATAGAAGCTAAAAAAACAAAAAAGGAATGATTAACTTGATCTCATGTACGAGATTTAGTTGAAAATTAATATTCACATTGCGTATAGATCGAGGCCGTCTCTCAACGGCTGTTTGCATAGTAAATAATGACGGGACTTAAATCATGCAACGGACACGTATATACTTACCTACACTACACGCGGGTTTCGTTTTGTAAGTTCACGGCTTTAGTAGTTTCATTGTAATACCTATCTAACTATGTATATACATATACATATACATATACATATACATATACATATACATATACATATGTATGTTCGTTGAATTTCATATTGTCCGGTAAGTTAGTTTGTTTTGTCTGAAACGTAACCGTTGTGTCGCGATGAATGCATATCTAAGATAATATAAGCAATTTATAGAGCATTATAAACGAGCGTGGTCAATTATACATATCTATATTGTAGGTATATGATATGTAATATTTGCTCCGTGTAGGTAGGTATGTACCTACTTTATGTAGTCTTTTTAACACATTGATCGCCAGGGTGGTCACCGATTATCAACGCCTATAAATTTCACGAAGGAACATTGAATTTCTAAACAGGAACATTCAAAATTTTGCAACAAATAAGTATACTTAAAGTTGAGTATACTTGAGTGATGATGAAAGTAACGAGTGTATTTGTAGTAAGCCGACGTGTCGATACTTGTAGCGTTAAGAAGAAGTCATAAACAAACGCATCTTATCACGACACTCTGTCTCAATAGGCGACAAAACTGGTGGCATTGTACATACGTGTTTCGTTGATCGGTTCGTTGTCCGCTGGCAAAACGGTGTCGTCTATTTCGTCTATTGGCAGAGGATACCTATGTACATACATATGTAGATATTTTTGCTTCTTCTCGAACGATATAACATATCTACGCAAAGTGAAGCGAAATTAAATTAAGTCCAAGAAAGTTTGATAAACGTGGCGCACCTGATCTCTAGAAAAAATTTGCCATTTTACCTTTAATGTACAACAAGGTTAACGCGGTTATTTGATAGAGGGGAAACAATATGCGGTTTCTGAACAAGGATTACAGCAATTAAAAACACCTGCGATTATCTATGAACATAAATGTTTGGTGGAAGTCAAATACCGCTTTCTCGTTATCTTCTCGACGATACAACGAGTCTACCTGCCGATACAATCAGTCATTAAATCGACCTGAAGTATTATCTTGAGGCAATTTTTTGGATTCTCGTGTTTGGGTTTCCCGTACATCGGCAGATAAGATAAACTCTCGTTGATACTGAATGTGCTGCTGACATTTATTCGAAGGAAATAAAAAATTTATGCGATTGTTCAATTGTTAATTGTGATCGAACGACTTGAGCTGCTTGAGCATGCCTTGTTAGACGCTAGACGCGTAATCTATAATACATATACATATATGTATATCTACTATGTACATACTTGTATATTAGTATGTTAAGTGAAACACTTCCATCGAAGTACTCTCGATATGAACTTGATCTTTCCGTAGAAGATACGCGTGTTCCATGATCGATAAGAATACTTCTTGTACCCGCATTGTACGTACTTGAACGCCACACACGTATGTACATACACACATACATACACAGAGCTATTGAGATTGCTTAGGAGCTAATGCCGTTTTTTATCGTCGAGTTAAACGTCAAGTAAAGATGAAGCGACAAGGAAAAATTCGCAGATACGACATGGCATGCAATAATAATAGTTTTCATGCGAATCCACCGTATCTACTACACTCTACAGATACGGCCTACTCTCTAAACTCGCGGTTTCGTTTATCTCTGGAACAACATTTCCTCGAAGCACAGAAAGAAGGTTGTCACAGTGTCCGGAAGACGTGCTCGACGACATTTACGAAAGACTTTTTAGTTCAGGTTCTATTTCTCGATATGTAACTACATATGTACTATGTAGTTACAGTTTACAGTCACGAATTATCATTTCAAGGTCTCATCCGATACGCACGACCTTTGTTGTTTCAAGAATTCAAGGATTTTGACCGAAATTTTCTACCTCCCTTCCTCTGAAACCGATCGACCGATCGTGCTTTCCTGCCGTTTGCCTTCCCGCGACGCGAGCCGAAATCGAAATCGCATTGCACCCAAGCCACACATTGTTACGTGCAAGGAATCTGACCTTTACCTAGATAAGTTTGTACGGCTCGTTAGACAGCTGCCAATAGGGAAAGGCTCTGCTAATCGTCATTCCTTCCGCGCCGTTGACCTCGAGCTTTCTTCTTTGCGACTACGGTGGCGGTATGGAGGACCTCTATTCGTCGAGGCGATTACAAATAAACGATATATATATATATATATGCATATATCCTGTGTGTACTTATATGTATGTCACACTTGTTGTACCCAGGTGGGAGAATTCCGCAACGATGGGTATTCGCAGTAATGGGATTTTTGGCATTAATCAATGCTTACGCGATGAGAGTTTGCCTCTCGATCACCATTACCAAGATGGTATACCCGCAAGAAAGTACCACGAATGACATCGGTAATATTTGCAATATCACGGAGCAAGACCAACATGATTCCAACAACACGGTATCAACGGATGCGAAACTGTACCACTGGGACGTATTCACTCAGGTAAACAAGATAAAAAAATTAGTGTGGAGTTGCGCGCACCGACAATCATTAAAATAATTATATATCCCCGATTTTTATTAGGGTATAATATTGTCGTCGTTTTACTGGGGTTACGTGATAACACATTTACCGGGTGGAATGCTGGCGGAGAAATTTGGAGGAAAACATTCCCTTGGTCTGGGAATTCTAGCGACCGCTCTGTTCACATTAATTACACCGGTGGTGGTAGAATTTGGAGAATCGACGGGTCTAATTATCCTTCGCGTGTTAATGGGTCTTTGCGAGGGCACAACGTTTCCGGCGTTGAACACGATGCTTGCACAGTGGACACCGCCGGAAGAACGATCCAAGATTGGCTCGTTGGTATTCGCTGGTTCTCAGCTCGGTACAGTGTTCGCGAACTCGTTGTCCGGAATAATACTTCATTACTCACCGATGGGCTGGCCAGCTGTGTTTTACGTGTTCGGTAGCGTTGGGGTACTCTGGTTCTTGATATGGCTGGTAACATGCTACAACAATCCGGATACGCATCCATTTATTTCTGATAAGGAGAAAAACTTTTTGAGAGAAAGAATGCAAGCGCATACGCATAAAAAGCCACCCTCGGTACCATGGAGGCACCTTTTGAAATCCGTGCCACTTTGGGCATTGATAACCGCGCAGATCGGCCACGACTGGGGTTTCTTCACATTGGTAAACGATCTGCCGAAATACATGAGCAATGTACTCAAGTATTCGATTAAGAGCAACGGGTTGCTCTCTGCGTTACCTTATCTAACAATGTGGATCTGTAGTGTAATTACATCTTGGATAGCCGATTGGATGATCACAACTGACAAGATGTCGCGGACCAACGTACGTAAACTAGGCACGACTATTGCTTCGCTCGGACCTGCAGTGTTCGTTATGGGCGCATCCTACGCCAGATGCGACAGAACAACTGTCGTTATAATGTTCACCCTCGGCACGACACTGATGGGTACGTAACATGGATACACCAATCCCTTATTAGAATTAATCAACTGATAAACTGTCAGTTGTGTCGTAATCCCGTTAAACCGTTTTACAGGCACATTTTATCCAGGGATGAAAGTTAACGCGCTGGATCTTAGTCCAAATTACTCTGGCACGTTGATGGCTCTTGTAAACGGAATAGGCGCTTTAACTGGTATCATCACACCTTACATCGTCGGCCTGTTAACTCCGAACCAGAATCTTGACGAATGGAGAATCGTATTTTGGATCGTCCTTGTCGTTTTCGTTGTGACCAACGTAGTTTTTGTATTTTACGCAAGCGGCGAAGTTCAATACTGGAACGACCCTGAATTCATTACAAGAGAAAGAGAAGAGAAACGAGCGAAAATTCAGAATAAAACAGGGTTTTTCAGTGGTTCGACGAAAAATCCGTCTACGTGAGAACGTACCTTCATACGACAGCTGTTTAACATGTTGACTGCGAAGCAAAATTTATCGACTCTTTCCGAACAGTGCCGTATACTGCTGCAGATACGCACAGATAAATACAAAAGTCCTACCCACCTGTCCACATAGTCTTATAAAGTTGTTCCTTCGGGTAGCAGTCGACTTGTTTAACGTTTTAAAGAGATAAGAAGAGTGACACTGCTACGTCTGCGCTGTCTCTTTAGTATTCTCAATCATTGTATCGCGTAATGTGTCCTCCTTGTATAGGTTTACCTATATTATAACCAGCGCCTTAGAATTAAGCGTTTCTCCGTCAACGTACTCTTACACTTTTCTATTAACTAGATACTCTTCCTCTTGTGCGTCTAGTCCATATTTTTTCCGTCTACCACGGATTCGGGTTAAAAAACTAACGAAACACACACACACACACACACACACACACACGCACAAAGCCGTGTGAGAACATAACGAGGAATTTTTAATGTAGAAAACTCTGGAATGCCTCAAGGAATATGTTATCTAGCGAAAACGAAAGAAATATTTGGAGGACGTTTCATCGACGTGTTTTCGCAGTTAACATGTTCAGTGTACCTGAAAATATTCGTACGTGCGCGTGCGTATCAATAATTCATTTCTTCATAATCAGCATCATAATCATAATTATAGTCGTCGCTGTCATATTTGTCATGGTCGTCGTCGTCGTCGTCGTCGTCATCGTCATCGTCATCGTCAACACCGAAAAAATAAAGATAAAATACACGCATCTAGGTACATACTACGTGTACGTAAATACGCACAGCTAAATCATGGGGTGAAATCATTCTTAAAAGAGCATGAAACATTTCGATTTACTGCGTTTCTATTTATAATAAAACGCGATAATTTACAAATATTCGTAACGATTACTGTATTATTTACAAATACTTTTAATTTGCGCATCATGTATTGTTCTTTTTACAAAGAGTAAACCCAGACACGAGTCGATAGTCTAGTGTGCAGGCTCTTCGTCTTCTCGTACGTTTCGATCTAATAGAAAGAAATGAAAACACTGAAAATAATAAATGACTTGTTAACTCGACGACGATGGTACGGTCCAGACAAGCGGTACTTCGATTTTCTTTTTTTCATTTTTCCGTCGGTGCCCTCGGTATCTTGTTTTGTTCGGACTCCAATCGATGTTATCCTGTCGTACTTTACAGGAAAGGTTTGGTGGTATCGCGTAACTCGCATCAGAATACGGATCTGCTTCGACTTCCACCGATTCCATATTACGAATATTCTTCACAAACTCATAATCAACATGATAATAATTCCGTAAAGTTGGCTCGTCGCGGAACGCTTGCATGGCGCACCACGCGTGTGATAACAAACCGGGAAATCTAGAAAGCCAGTAATCGGTGAATTTGTCTGGAATATCTCCAAGATTTTCTTGAGCTTCCGGGCTTAGTTCTCTGTAATGATGTTTCTAAAAGAAATGGTACCATTTTAATTACCTACAATATTTTCTTCGATCAAAGTATGCTTTACCGTAAACTGACAATCACTTTTCTTTCTCGTATTTTCAAAGTTTTACCTTATTTCTTAATGCCCTTAAAAGATCTCTAACGCTTTCTCCGCGGTAGCTTCTATATTTTCGAAGATCGGTTGCAACTTCCACATCGATTAATAATCTCCAGTCACTCTGTACAATTCGATGGCTGTCGGTTTCTAATGCGATTAAAGCTGGACTATCGTTCTGTTCTTTCTCTACTCGATCGCTCACATCCTAACATTGTTTCCGAGAAGACGATTAGCGTACAGTAAAAAACGTAGACGAAATTCATATCACTCGATATATGACTAGAACTTGTACATACATACATACATACATACATATGTACATACGTGTAAAGGGTACAAAACAGAATACCTGAAAAAATGCAAGAATTCGCGAGGGCTCCCAAAATATGGGATGCTCGTGGACTGCCATTACCGGTGGTCGTTCCGATGGCTCACTAGCAATCATAGCCTTTATTAGCACCAATGCGAGATCCTTGTCGCTTTCTGAAATTCCACCGTGAAGAGCCGTCAAGTTGCTCTCACCGCCTGTGATACATCGAATACGTTCACTATCAGGAGTTAAAGAACAACCTTAACGTTGCCGACAAACGAAAACGAAAACGAAAACTAAAACGATCAAACAAACGGATTATTAGGGGTCTTACAAAGAATGTTGGCCTGTCGTCGTAACGAATCTCCGAATGGATGTTTTCCATCAGAAAGAACGTAATAGAAAACGCAACCGAGAGAAAATATGTCTACGGCACACGTCGTTCTGTTCCCATTTAACATTTCTGGCGCAATCCAACCGTCGGTTCCCGTTACACCAGATCTACGCGAAAAGGATACACGACCTAATTGAAGTTTCTTGCACAGACCAAAATCAGATATCATGGCTCGAACTTCTCCACGTGGTCCCGGCGCAGATAACAATACGTTGTGGGGTTTGATGTCCCTGTGCACTGTATAATAGGAGCAACAAAAGCTAGATTTAGTCTCGGAAAAATACCAGAACGATATTGACCAAGACCAGGATCACTAATAGTAGTATCCAATTTACGTTCAAGTTTAAAGGATCTACATACATACATACATACATACATACATACATACAGGGTTGTTAACCCTTTGACTGTGACGCCCTCCGTCTCCAAGTCATCAAAATACATACTGTCAGCTATGTTGCGCAGCCGTCACTGGACGGGAGACAGTAGCGTTCGCATAAAGTTCTTTTAAGAATTTCTCATAGAAAAGTGAATATAGATATGTATTTTGGAATTTAAAATTGGTTAGAAAATACACTTAAAATATAATAAATAATCAAAATAATACGAGACCGTATCATGTATGATATATGCCGTCCACAGTCAAAGGGTCAAAGAACAAGAACAAGAAACCTCACCGATGTCGAGACAATGTAGGTGCGCTAATCCCGACGTAGCCTGTCGTAGGATGTTTTTTGCAGTTATCTTTCGTCTATCGTATTGTCCCGCGACATAATCTTGTAAAGTTGCTTCGGCTAGTTCCAACGCGATATATCGAAACATCCGATCCTGCTCGGTGCAAAAGTACCGAACAACATTCGCATGCGCATCAGATTCTCGGAGCAATGCTACTTCTCGATCGGCGAACGTGAAACAATCCGGTAACAAACGTTTCACCGCTACAGAACGGCCATCGAATTCACCTCTGGAACGGTAAAACTTGAAATTTGTACACACGTACATACATACATAGATCTGTGCACGCGTAACGCATAAGCGGAATGTCCTGAGAGAAAAGGTACGATTCGTTCGAGCAAAAAATCATAGGCTCTCTACCTGTACACGAAAGTTCCTTCGCATCCTTTACCCAACACTTGCCCGGTATCGAAGGTGATCTTTCCAACTTTTACCACTCCTTCGCCTATATCTTCCGGGACAGCGAGGGCGTTCGATCGCATTCCATAATAATAATAATAATAATCATTGCTCGTGCGGCTGCTTTCTCGTGAACCCTGTTGGAATCTGATTTCTCAAGTATCGGCCAGAATTCAAAACTAATACTCTGGTCGTAGATATGTACAATAAGAAATGCGAGTACCTGCGATCGTTGTTGAAACTCTTTGACCTGTGCATTTAAATACCAATACATCGCTAAAATACATCCCGATAACGCGACCAGTGCCAATTTCAGTCCTTTGTTTTCCTGTTGATGGAACCAGCTTTTGCTAGCGATGTACGCGTGTCGTAACAACTCGCGCCACGACGCACTGCCCACCACGCTGCCGGTAGATCTGCTGTCGTTTTCCAAGTCAAGTGTCAGCAGCGTTTCTTTCGTTGAATTCAAGTAACGTAACGAGGAGGGCAATGTTTCGATCACAGGATCAGATCGACCGGTAATCTGAAGTGGTTGCTCATCTTGTAGTTTGTATTCAGCAGGTATTTCGTAATGTCCTATTTCCGATAAAATCGAGCGAATTAATTAACGCCGTTCCTTCTTCGACATTACTACGTCGCTACACAGATTGATTGCTCGCTACGATTACCTAACGCGATGACCGTTTGATAATCCGACCGAGCAACAGTATCGGTGCTATCATCGGCATACGCACGATCGTCGGTGGAAATTGGAATTGTATTATCATTTTTGTCCATCTGTGAAACCGACAACGGTCCCTCCAGCAACAACTGTCCAATATTACTCGAGATCGTAGCCGTTGTTGAATCGACCAGAGACGGTAACGCGTAAAATCCGTGCCTATGTTGACCAATGTACAATGTCGGACTACGAAAAGCAGAGAAACGGAAAAGTAACCGAGAGAAACTTGTTAGTTTTTTTTAAACGTAAGCATCGGTGGTGACAACTTTTAACCGGACTAAACTACGAAAAGTCTTACAACAACTGAATGTCGCTCGGTTTGTTTGCGAAACGTTTCAAAAGAAGATCCAACGTTCCATCCGCAACACTGGTAAAGGGAATTGTAAGCAAGCCTTCCTTTCTCACTACATACACCGCTATTACCGGACTCTGCACGTCCAGCTCCCAGAGTACAATTCCTAGTCTTCTATCTACAGTGACAATACGTCCGGTGGAACTCGTTGTAAAATGAACTAAATCTGCAAGGGACATATACATATGTACATGTAGGTATACCTATGTATCTATATATCTGTATATGTTTCTGACATACTCAAACAGTAGATAAAGTACAATAATCCTAACCCACCGTAACTTTCTACTCCTTCTGGTTCCATTTTTGCTGCAGAGTAGTCATAGAATGTAACATTCCATTTTCTGTCTTTTCGTTTGCTATCTACCATAATGATATTGTATTCTGTACGACCCACAAAAACGCCATCCTGCATTTCTACAGGACAAGTATTTTTCGCTGTGTCAAATCCTAGGAGTTGCTCCCTTTGTCCAGTTCGAGGATCCACGGTGAACCATGTGTCTACCTTTCTACCTGTGTATAATATTCCGTCGCTGCTACGACAAGGACTGTTCGCCACAAGCTGAGGAATAGTGAACGGTAGTTTCTTCAAAGCTTCGGTTTCTGCTCCGAATATGTACAAGGAACCGTCTTTTGGATCTGGTAAAAACATTGGCCTGCAATGAAAACAAGAAAATCAGAGAAAGAACTGCTACACATCTCTAATATATGTATATGAGAACGCAGTACGTACGTCGTGGAAGCTCGTGAAATATCAACCGGTACTTTGACAATTGGCTCTGTAACACGTTTAGATACGGTGAATGTTCTTGTTAGATTCGAAAAAATGTATATTCGACTACATGCAACCATCAAAATATTATTACCATCGCTTTGCCGCCAAAGTATGTTTCCCGAGCGTTGTTCTATACCTACAAGAGAACCATCTAGTGTAGAAAATATTAGGAGAGGTTCATCTTGTTCCGGTACTAACTCTGTATTAAGTCTCTGTGTTCACACCAAAAGATGATTATTGGCATTTTCGTTTCATAAAGGCACGTTTCTCTTAATATCATGTTAAACGAGTGCGATATCGCCATACCTCTTGTTTCAAGGACTGAAAATGGTCAGACTCGTCGGACTGTTCCGTCGGATCGGTGACGCAAAGGAGCAGTCCAACAAGGAAGAGTATCTGTGCGAAGGGATTGAGTAGCATTGTTTATAAAATGATTTATTGCACAGTTCCATGTGTCAGTTGAGCAAAGTCGAAATTCTATCCTCCTTGGAAAACAAAATTCATTTACACGACAAGAAAACTGTATAACGTCGTGTTCTTTTGTACAACTAATGATATCTTCAGTTCTCATTTTCTCTCCGAAGCACGCCCGCGACGATCTTCTTTACGAATCTTCAATGAAACGTCTGTTGCATCAGATCCATGTACAGAGTAATGTATACATTATCGATTAAAGAAATTCTTTTCCCTATTTTCATTTCCATGCAACCGACCAAGACTACTGCACAACGTGCAATATTAGTTAGAAACAAAAACATAGAATGACTTTAAGAATGACTCAGTTTCTATTAAGTATCCAATGCAAATTACATTCTTTTTGTGTGTGTGTGTGTGTGTGTGTGTGTGTCTGTATGCGTGTATGTATGTATATATGTATGTATGTATGTATGTATGTATGTATGTATGTATATATATATATATATTCTATTGAGATTGTCTCTTTGTGATGTGTACAAATGAAACGAACTTACATTTTAACAATAGTTTATTAAGATATCTCCATTAATTCTCGATTTAATTAAGATTGGAAAATCTTGCTGATGATTCCAAAATTTGAATTTTTTTTAATAGAAAAGTACTTTACCACTTTCTCAATACGGATTGAAACATTATCGTGTTGGCACACATACTTATTTCCAGCAATTTTTGTCGCATATGTATGGATTTAGTTAATTATTTAAAGATATTTCCTGCTATTCGTTTGATCCCTAATCAATTTTATTGTCATTTTACCGATATGGTCATTACGAACTCGAATCATTACATTACAGAAAAATACATACACATGAAAGAAAAATGATAAAATGTCATATTTACAGACAAAAAGATATGTAAGAAGAGAACTAAGAGTTTTGAACGGCAGTCAAATGGGGGTGACAGTATAATCAAGCAATCTGAAAAAATGTATATACCTACATATAATGAATTTTATTTGCACTGTTCAATAGAAATTAAGTCATTCTTAAAGTGTGCTATTTCTTTGTCTCTGACTGTAGTAAATATTTTCTTGCAATATTTAAATATATAGATAGGTATATCACAAGTCGAAACGACTCTTTCCTATTCGGTTACCGTTGTCATTGTGTCCTCGTAATAATAGCGACGGAAGATGATGATCGTCCCAAAACAAAACGTCACATGTGGTACACATTTTTAGCGAAACCAACGTACCTCTTTCACACGCGTAATGCATTTCCAAAGAATCCGCAATCGTAGTTACATTGTTTTATCATGCATGTCGATTTCGCGACAATGAAACAAGTAGAAATGCACTTCAACGTATTGTTCTCGGTAGGTGTTCGCCGTAGCGAACAATATCGCGCATGCATCCAAAGGACAATGACAACGTCACGGACACGTGGCTCAAGTATGTTCGCGCGCGACAGTACATCTCACAAATCCATGTACATAGAAAATACCGTAAATAATTGTAACAAACATTACGCACACAAACGTGCGTTGTATATACTACACTTATAACCCAGCCAATTAATAGCCATACTGCGCATGATCGCAACAATATTTTAACGTTGCTCTTTACTTGCTTCAATTTAAATTAGTAATTCACTAAAAAAATTTACAGTTTTCAAATATTATTTGATACCAATGTAAAAATGTATACATACAACGCCCGTGTAAGAGAAGAGAAACTTGACGTTGTCGTCGTCGAGAAATAATAAAAATGAAAGATAAAGATGCGAGTTCGAACTTTAAAGCGGCACACGTATGTTACGCGACTAGAGATGGCGTGAACTGCTACTTGTGAATCACTCGTGATCGATCATATTCGTTCCCAATCACGATGATTTTCCACAGAGATTCGTGATTTCCCGTGATTGTTTCTTATTGGTGGAGAAACCTAACAGTTCTTTACACGCGATACATAATTTGTATATTTCACACAACATCAAAACAAAAATTAGGGTTATATCGTATAAAGTGAAGGAATAAGTAGAAACAATGAAGAATAATGAATAAATTAATGATTACAAATTATAATCTACATGTTACCTAGCATATCATTTTTTTAGAATTTCTTGTTTTTTCTACTGATGTTTACAAACACGAATAGTAATGTAATTATCGTAAAATCATATTGAATACGTTTTTCTGTTTAAAGATCAAGGACTTACGATCGCAGTGAGCAAATTCACCCAAGATAGAAAAATCGCAATCACGGTTGTGAATGAAGTTAAATCACGACCGTGATCGTGATTCGGCGATCACTGTGATAAATCACCGTTAGTGATTTTGCACGCCATCTCTATCCCACACACACGGGGTCCCTTCAGCATGCTTCGGGGGCTCCGTGACCCCACATTCTCTGCCCACGTGATCAAAGTCCCCTCCACCGGGGCTCCGTGACCCCACGCTCTTACCGCGCAGGGTCTAGGTCGCCTTCACTGGGGGCTTCGCGACCCCACGGTCTCTCCCCACGTGATCAATGGCGCCTCCACCGGGGCCTCCGTGCAGGGTCTATAGCGCCTCCACCGGGGGCTCCGTGACCCCCGCTCTCACCCCACGTGATCAATGGCGCTTCCACCGGGGCCGCCGTGCAGGGTCTATAGCGCCACCACCGGGGGCTCCGTGACCCCACGCACTCACCCCACGTGATCAATGGCGCCTCCACCGGGGCATCCGTGACCCCACGCTCTCACCGTGCAGGGTCTATGGCGCCTCCACCGGGGGCTCCGTGACCTCACGTTCTCACTAGAGATGATGTGAACTGCTATTTGTGAATCACTCGTGATTCGATCACGTTCGTTCTCAATCACGGTAATTTTTCACAGTGTTTCGTGATTTCTCGTGATCGTTTCTGATTGGTGGAGAAACCTAACAGTTCTTTACACGCGACACATAATCTGTATATTTTATATTTTATATTACCGACATCAAAACAAAAATTCGAGTTATATAGTATAAAGTGAAAGAATAATTAGAAACAATGAAGAATAATGAATAAATTAATGATTATAAATTATAATCTACATGTTACCTAGCAAATCATTCTTTTACAATTTCTTGTTTTTTCTACTGATTTTTACACAGTAATGTAATTCATCGTAAAATCATATTGAATAAGTTTTTCTGTTTAAAGATTAATGACTTACGATTGCAGTGAGCAAATTCACTCAAGATAAAAAAATCACGATCACGGTCGTGATTTAATTTCATTTACGACCGTAATTGCGATTTTTTCATCTTGAGTGAATTTGCTCACTGCGGTCGTAAGTCTTTGATCTTTAAACAGAAAAACGTATTCAATATGATTGTACGATGAATTACATTACTATTGATGTTTGTAAAAATCAGTAGATAAAACGATGTTAGGTCTATTGTTATATCTCGTCTGTGGTTGAACGCAGGGACAATCACAAAAACACTACCTGTTAACTCCCGTTGGAATAGTATGGTCATGGTCAGTCATAAGTTACTGGCCCTTCTCACCTATGGCGCTGCAAATCGACCAAGAAAAACCTATAAGACGTACCCCCGTGCATAAAAAAAACCTACATACATAAGTAAGTGCAAGTAAGTGAGTCGATAGGACGTGTGTGTAATGTTATCATCGTGGAGTTAAGAATTGTTATCAGTTCGAAGAAAATTATCATCTGGAGGCGAAAAATGAATCGCGATATTGTTTGTAACTAATATTACCGCTGACGTCTTGTCAAACAAGCATGAAAAGACGACACGAAGCAACTTGCATATGTCCTACTATCCACAAGCGAAGATGTATGTCCGATCGTTGTCAATCGTGTAATAATTTAAGCAAAGTTGACGGCGGAATTGCGCGATGCTTGCAATTCGGAAAATTTTTCTATACGCTATGCATTCCAAGAACATTTACATATATGTAAAGATCAATCGCTGAAATAAATATTTTACAATCATGAACACCAAACGCAGCCCAAGAAAAGTGACATTGGCTATGATAAAAGGTGAGGCAAATATATCTATTTATACAGGTGAGATCGGATACATTTCTGCATGTTCCGTTTTAATTCGATTATACATATAAAATCGCTGGTGACAAGGGATTCTCCTTAATTGATTACTTTTTCCTTCTTCCATAAGGTAAACCAATTGCGACTTCGGTTCCTGTAATCCACTACCATGCCAGCGACGACGAACTCGAAGAAATATATCCAAGTACAGACGAAGAGAAGGAGCTTACACCGGAATTCGAAAGGATTACATCGAAGCTAACCTATTCACCACAAAGATGCTCCGAAAAGGGACACACGCGTGAATCCGATATTTCCGAAAACAATTCGGAAGGTCGGTCAATTAGTGCCGAAAACATAATATCAGAGAGCGGTACACCACCGTCTTTAGATCCATGGAAAGTATTATCGGAAATCAAAGGAAAAATAACTAAAACATTTGAGGAGAAATTCTCAGATATAAAAAATGACAAAAAGAAACCTTGCCATTCTCGAGCCGAAAGTTCTAGTATTAGCGATTCAGAAGATCAGGGAAACTCTACACCTACACCCTGCGATGAAAAGGCTGGAGGCGATAGGCAGGTAAACGAACCAACTGCTAGCGTCGTTGATCGACGAGACAATGCGGTGAGATACGTAAGATTTTCCGGAATAAAGACAGGCTTGAAAGACAAAAGTTTACAAGATGATTGCGTCGAGAGCGGCATCGAAGCTTCCGAATTTTCTCCCGACGTTGGGGAAGACATTGCTCTTTCTACGAAAAGCGATGTATTATTAGCAAAAACGCCCGACAGTAATAACCATCATGCTAGCGTCCAAAAACATGCTTCCGGAAGTCATTCGGTTACCCTTTCAGCTCGAATAAAGTTTAAAGTGATCGTTACACATTTGTTGAAACAAGTAGTCCATCAAATAACGTACAGGTCAGTCGTTGTTCTTATAGCTGTTTCTTGCATTTACTATATTACTCCGTTACCGGAATATTGGATTGGATTCATAGTGGGTATCGTTACAGCGATCATGTATTACGACACGGTAACAAAGTGTAAAACGATTTTGACGACATTATCGGATGAAAAATTTGTTTGTAGACAAATAATACCTGTTTTAGAGATTCCGGCAGTAGAGGAGCATGCTGTGATCGAGAGATTTCAAGGCTGGCTGAACGAACTGCCATATCGTTACGAACCCGGTAATTATCACGTGGCTCGCACCAAGTCCATATTTTTCAGACTGGAGGGAAGTATTTTGCGTATAATGGAAACTAGAATAAAAATACCGAAGAAGGCTGTTTGGGACGAATCGCAGCACAAATTGAAATTCGTTAAGAAGAGAGTTTATAATTTGACTGGAGCAAAGGTGGAACTCATTCCCTATGGACTGACTAGAAGGAGAAGGTGGAGTAAAAAATATCCAATTTGCATAACTCTTAGCAAGGGAGCTTTAATTTGTAATAAAACGCTGAAAGGTTCGGGTACGATCAACGATCGCAGGCAAACGGTGTCTGAATCGAATGCTAAATGCACACCTACATGGAAGGAAGCAAAATGCGAAGACGAAATTCGGCCCACGAATGCAAAGGACGGAAAATCTATTGTAAGCCAAACCGAAGAACGAAAAGAAGAAGAAGAAGAAGGATTATCGGAAGTGGACGAAGATACTACCGAAGATTACGACGACGACGTTGAAAATTATAATTCTGATTTGAACAACGATGAATTCGGCAACGAATATACAGAATGCGAAACAGGATTCGCAGAAGATGGAGAAATAGAAGGGTACGGTGAGGAAGGGCAACAGATACAAAAGAAGGCAGAAAAAAATGATGGAGAGATAACTAAGGAAAGCGACAAAGTAAAAAGAAATACAAAAATGTTTCACAGTTATGATTGTAATTACACCAAGAGAAGAGAAAGGAGAGTTCGAAGAAGATCGAATCTAGAAACGGAGAATAGAATAGAAATAGAAAAGAAAAGGAAGAAGAAACAAGAGAACAAAGAACAATATGTTTATGAGACGGAGGTGGAAGAGAAGGAGGGCGACGACGACGACGACGACGACGACGACGACAACAACGACGACGACGACGACGACGACAACAACGACGACAACAACGACGACGACGACGACGACGACGACGACGACGACGACGACGACGACGACGACGACGAAATGGAAGATAAGAACGAAAAAAATAAAACGAACGTAATGTTAGAGAATAAGAAAAGAATACGGAAACCGCAGCAGAAATATGAGAACGGGGAAGTGGTGCAGGATGAGGAGAGAAAACGGAAGAAGGAAGCGGAAGTGGAAAGTGAAGAACTGAAGGATGGACAAGAGGAGGAATGGGAAAAGGAGAAGGAAGAAGATGGTGATTATGGCAACGAAGTCGATGGTGGTGGCGGCGGCGGCGACGACGATAAGACAGAGGAGTGGAAAACGATAGACGGAGTGTTACAAAGTAAAGGATTGAGAAAAAATTCTTTTAAAACGCGTTCGATCAATGACAAGCTGAGTAACGAAACGAAATTATTCGTTTTTGCTAGAGCTGACCGCGAGAAAGAGGATTGGTACAGACGTTTGGTCTCTGCCTCATCCCGGGGCGTAAACAAACAAGATACATCATGTTTCACAACCGATGCATCATACACATCAAATACAATATCAACGACGATACAGCGAACCGTAATGACAGAATCAAAATCTTCTGTTTCGTCTAACAATTCTTTCGAAAGTGTACCTGATTTGAACTACAACACGTACATGGCAAAATATTTGGATACTGGTATTTCAAGTTCAGAAAATGAATACTCCCCGTATACCGACAATACGCTTTGGATCAATTGTTTAGTAGCTCGTATTTTGTTCGACGTACACAAGTATCCAGAAACTATAAAGCTGATACAGGAGAAGATACAACGGAAATTATCTAGTATAAAATTACCATATTTTATGGAGTGCCTTTTAGTTTCGGAGGTAGCAATAGGTCAAGGAGCGCCTATCATTAAGAATGTAACGAAACCGGTGACGAACGAGAGAGGTCTCTGGATGGATTTTGATATAACATATAAAGGATCCTTGACTATGACCGTCGAAACCAAATTGAATTTGATGAAATTAACAACAAGAGCAGGATCGATTTCGAATAGCGGTGCTGTTAACGGCGGCGGTGGTGCTGGTGGTGGTGGTCTATCAGTTTCCATGGAACAACATAAATCGACAACTAAATCCCCAATTTTCGACAGCGACATGGAAGATACGCCGGAAACGTCTACGGAGGATGACGATAATTCACAATTGTACAGTCCGGCTAAAGAGACAACAACGTAAGCTGCTCGTAGGGCTCGGCGTGGCTATGTTTTATACACTGTAAAGTTGGTAATTTGTTTATTTTTCCTTCTCTTGCAGTCCTATCGCGCAATCATCGGGGAAAAAGTTTCTGAGTGTGGTAGATAGAATAGCTGCGAATAAATATTTTCAGCACGTAAGTACATCTTATTTAGAACGCAATCTTTCGGCATTGTATAGTATTGTATATGATACGGTGGTATCGGAAAATCCTATATTCTTAATAAGTTGTCGAATGTTTTTCTGTTTCTGTTTTAATAATCAGGCAACCGAGCTGTCCTACGTACGAAGGGCAATGGAAGGCGTCTCGAACACGGAAATCCGCTTAATGGTTACCGTCTCGAGCGTAGAGGGATGTCTTTCGTTAAACATTCCACCAGCACCATCCGATCGTTTATGGTACGGTTTCAAACCAGTACCAAAAGTAACTTTTACCGTAAAACCCGCGGTTGGCGAGAGAACGGTAAATATCGTTTACGTAACTAAATGGATAGAGGCTAAGTTACTCAGGGAATTCGAAAAATTGGTCGTTTTGCCGAACATGGACGATCTTGTGTTGCCATTGTGCCCTAATTATCCTTACACGACTACGCGATAATCGGCAGAGAACAATACCTTCAACAATATTAACGATCACATTGTATTTCATGTCGGTGTAATCTGTGTTGTTAATGTCGTTGTTTGTGAATGTAGCTCGCATTACATGTATAATTGTAATGGAGATTCGATTAGTAGATAACGAAAGAAAAGAAATATTCTGCAAAATTCTTTACGTTATCGTCTCATTGGAGAAACTCGCGCGATAATGCAAGTCTTTTATAGGTTTTTTGTCAATGTGAATCGACTGTAGCCAGTTCCTGCCTAACTTTCAATCTATACATCAACGACTAGACAAAGGAAGAAACAGGGGACTCTATGTCGCCGTCGCTACGTAATTGGTGGTCAGATGCAAACGGCTTATAGGTATTTGTTTCGTGTAAGAACTCGATGCGTGTAACGTCGTTATCGATACGTCCGTCCGCGTGTATACAGGGTGTGACAAAAGTGTCGTAGATCTCTGAAATGTATCGCCCGTGAGGTGATTTGAAAGAAGCTTTTCCATAGAAAAAATGTTATCCGAGGCTTTGTTAACGAAATATTAAAAGGAAAAACCCGGACCAACCAGAGCGCGAGTCTCAGAGAGCTACCAATCGCAGCACGTAGCCAAGTAGAGGACTCGGCCTATAGACTCGCGCTTTGATTGGTCGGAGTTCTGCGTTAATATCTCGTTAACAAAGCCTCGGATAAGATTTTTGCTAAGAAAATACTTGTTCCAAATCACCTCACGAGTGACCCATTTCAGGGACCTATAATACCTTTGTTATACTCTGTATACATACATATGTACGTACGTACGTTAGTTGTTGATACGAGATTCAACCATAGATAAAACTTTATATTGTTTCTATGCTGTGCGGTCGTTTCACAAACGTGAAATTATTAAACGTTAATTCATGTAATGCGAGTGAATCAGAATGAAACTTTATGTCGAATGGAATTCTTGTCTTACATGCGATTACAAAACTGATATAAAACTATTGTGAGTTCAAGCAAACTCCTTGAAATTATTCAGTGACGAAAAGTAAGAACCCCTTTTTTTGCAACTTTACCAGTCAAATTGACACGACACGGTATTTACCTATTATATGTAAATATAATTCGAATCGATTTTTTATGAAACTTTTCGAAGAATAGGGCGGCAGCGTGAGCGCATCACACGTGTGCAAACGACAGTTGAATGTAGACTTTCGGAAGAAATATGAAACTTATCCGTTCTACACGCTAAAGAAGCGGAGAACATAGCTGGCTATTGAAGATATTGATACAGTATTGTGGATGATTCGTATCGCAAAGTTAAGTACAGAGAGTTATTCGAGACTATTTCAGGAAAGATATTATATATTCATTACGATAAAATTTTTACAAAACAATATCACAGTTCGGAGATCGATATTCGTATATAGTATAGAACAAGAAAATATAGTTTATTTACAGGCATATTTCTCATTGAGAATCCAAAGCTAACTTCGAAGAACACAAGGTGCGCTTTCCAGTTCACGAACCGTTATTGCCCAAGTTTCCAACCTTGGCGCGCATACCAGAACGAGGTCACCGAGTCTTCGTTTAGCCATTATCACAAACTCACCCTGACCGTGTCGCGCGTCACAGGCAGTGGGCACTCTGACATGCACGCTTCTTCGATCGAGCAATCCGACAACGTCCGCATCATTGTTAGCCTGTTCAGAAAGTAAAGTTCAATTTGTTAATAAAGTTACTTTCGATCGATGACCGCGCGATATGTTTCAACTTCGTTTAACCACGGAGAGCCAGACGGTTTTTGATACTGGTATCGCACAACTACGACGACTACGAGATACTCTGCGCGCCAATACGTACCTCGTTTTCTTCGATTTGACGCAAAGTTTTTGTTATACCGACAATGAGTTCGGCAGCTTCCAAATTCGGCTGTTTCTGTACAGCGCTCACTGTACCCCTGGCTACTAAATCGCTTTGACAGTAGGCTTTCGCCAATTCCTCTATGGAGCACGGCCTGCAATCCTCTTCCTCTTCCTTCTTTTCGTCGTGTCGACAAGATTTTTCTTCTCGACCGTCGGCGACTCGGCGTAGTTCCAAATCATATTGTAACTTCACATCACGACGTTCAACGGACATGGGCTGTTCTTCCGCTTCCATGTATAGCGCCGCGGGTTGCTTGTCGGCAACGTAGAAACATCTATGGGAGGCTTCGTGCTTGCCGTCTCGTGGAGTGTACAACGAACGAAGTTTACCATGAGTCTCTAAGTAAACTCTTACAGGACCGGAAACTTTGGTGCACGCTCGAAATCCGGATAATCGAGGTATATTGCGGCTGTTATTTATGATGCTTTCATCGACGTTGTTGTTATCGTTGCTATCCCGTCCTGCGACGAATTCTACGTGAATTTTCGGTATGGTCTCGATCAAAACCGGGGGTGAGAGGACTACTCGTAAAGCTCCGCGTGGATACTTCCAAAGTACAGTTCCCCTCGAACACCGAAGGTACACGGGTCGTACACCTCGTCCACCGCCTCCGCTGCAACGCAACAATATGTATTAGGTGATTCGTTACTTCGATGCGACTGAAATGAACTTGAAGTTATTATCGTATGCTCTCACTACCACTGTATTTCGATACACGGTGTCATTGACCTTTACCAGAAACGGACGATTATTTAAAGTTTCAATAATAAGTATATTCGCGACTTTCTTTTCCGTGCGTCTCCTTGTATGCCTGTACTATATATTTATATACACATACAAGGTATGCGCGCTAGAACACGCCAACCACTCTTTGCAAAAGAAAAAGATGATAAATCAAACGCTAACTCGGGAGATCCTTTTCGAGTTCGCGCTTGGTGGACGACCACAACGACGACAATGACGACAATGACGACGACGACGACGACGACGACGACGGAAAACCGGTTTTGGTCGTAAGTCGTGCGACTGGTTTCACGTTCGATAAAAGTCGTCGAGTTTTCGTTGTTCATTATCGAAGTATACTTTCAGAGATATGTACTACGTGGACACATTATTAACAAAGGTTCAACGAGTACTTTCCCGGATTTTATACAGCAACAGCAACAAAGTTTAGAGAGAGAGAGTAGAGAGTACAGAGTACAGAGTAGAGAGTAGAGAGTAGAGAGAAGAGAAAGGCAATAGTGACAGAGCGAAACCGAGAAAGAGAGGAAGAGAATTACGGGTAGGGTGGAAGAAATTAATATGATCTAATATTTAAATGTTAAAAAACAAAAAAAACTTATCGGATTTGTGTATCTCGTGAGCGTTCAGTCAGTCAATTGAGCATTGAAAAATGTGTAATCGCGTTTACTACGAAAACGAAAGAATGCCTCGAAGGAAATTGTATTAAAAAAATTCACGAATAAAATAAAGAATACGAACCTTCCAATCCAGTCGCATTGATCGGCGGCTTGGAGGGCAGCATGTTCATACGTAGGGGCTGATGACACGAGGTGAATATGTTGTAAAGACAGCAAAAGTTGCAAAACGCCGACGTACGACGTAAACCTTTTCATTTTTTATTAATCCACACCAAATAATCCTTCTCGATTTACATTGTTAACTTTCGAGGATAATTATCGCGGGAATCAACACTCGGAATCGCACGTAAATAATTTCGTTGTCGAAACGATAAATTGATATAATATACGTAGCAAGATCGCGATTCGTAGATATATTCCGTGCCCAAGTCGCATTTATCGCTACGTCTTTTTCGGGTATCACTATATGTCACACTCGTTTAACAACACATTCTCGCCATCATGTTACACGAGACACAATATTCTATTCGAAACTTGTCATCGTTATTGGGAGGTATAAACGACATAACGGCAACCAAGTACATCACCGTCTTAGAATCGAAGAAACAAAGAGTCTGTTCAGAAAAATAACTTCGATCGACCGAAAAAACACGTTTCCGTGGCGTCTCTACAATTTTAGTAGTTGAAGAAAACTACTCACTTTTCTTTGTACACTACGTCCTCGAGGCGCGCGGTCGTACGATCGCGGACACTTTGAACAAACGAGGTCGACAATATCCGAAGGATCATGCTTGCCGTCTAGAAGAGTGGAAAGGTGGTAAGTATAGATAGATGTGTACACAACGGGATCGAAATATGCACAAACAATTTTAGCCTATACGACGCGACCGACATTGGTGCATTCGCAGTCACCATTTTACAGAACTCTTGTGCCCAACTACTTTCGGGCTGTGTCGTTTCATTGCTCGCCTTTCTCTCTACTCCTTATTCTTCGTTACTCCGGTATTTGGTGTCTGTGCTTCAGTTCGACGAGCGATTCGACCCGTCCGTTTCACGTCTCCTCGCTTCGTCCTTTGATTCTCTCCGTGTATGTGTCTGTCTGTCTCTTTCGCTCCCCCCCTTCCACTTTTAACCCTTCTTTTCACTTCAATCTGTTTCCCTTTCACTCCATCTATTTGTTCCTTTCCTCTATGTCTCTCTTCAGCTATCACACATAACGTTGTTGTTTCTCTCGATTCGTCTTCTTTCTCCTTTTTTTCCTTACTACTAGAGTATTTATATACATTGTACAATGGGCTGTACAACGTTTCATGGCGATAGTTCCAACCGCTGGTTGCGTTTATTATTAATTGATTCTGTTTTTTTTTCCACGAAATTAACACGCAGGACAAAATAATTAGTAATACTAACTGGCAATGTTTATACATATACCGGTAAATTCTATCTACTCAAGAATTTCAAGTGGTACACCAATCAAATTTATTAAGCGTTACACCTTTACTTTGGCTCCTTTGAATCTTTTCTCGAGTTTAGTTTCATTTATCGCGGATTAGAGATGACACAAACAGCGAAAAAAGATCAGATAATCCCGTTTATGATCCGCATCAATTCGTACTCCAAGCTGCACATTCTGAAACGAGACGAGTGTTCAGTGTAAACGCTTCTTGTGTACGTACTCTCATAGGATCCATACAAAACTTTCATTCGAATATTCGACGTTTTTTTGTTAAGAAGAAGAGAATCTTACACCTCCGAGTAAAACGTTTGCCGATCCACATATCCCGGTGCGCATTCTGTAGGACACGAATTGTAAGAATGCACATTCAAAATTTTCATGACACTTCTATAAGAGTCCAAAGACACAAATCCTGAATTACTGGAATCAATGCTTTGAAAAATACTATCGATGTGCCTGCGAGGATTAACCAGCACAACCATGTAAGTACGCGTTATCGTAATGTGTATAGACTCCATAGAAACACGTACTATTTAGATGTATATCTATGTATGTATGTATGTATGTATGTACACCTTTTCATCCAAAATAGTCGTGGCTCTTTGAGTCCCGATCTGAAAAGCATGCAGTCATCGAGTAATTTATACAAATACTGAATTGGGTCTGCCGGTTGGTAAACAATTAAATGTCCGATGAAGAAAGTAAACGTATCGAAAATGTGTTTCTCCTCCAAATAATTTTGTTTATCGAAGCGCGTTTCTGTAGCATCATTCTGAAATTAATTGGCCCATGGCAATAGAATTGTATCCATTACAATGATCGTAGCGGTAACGCTTTGCAATACAACGTAATAATATTTTACCTCTCGCACCGATTGCTCTTGTGTTTGTAAACGAAAAACGTTGAAATTACTTCGATAGCATTCTAGATATTTATCCATTTTCTAATTTATCGTAATTTTTAAAATTGATTTTGAAATCCTTTCGTTTTCTTTACTTTTTAAAACTATAAGCTAATACAATTGTGCTTCCTCGGAACTCTAGACAGTAAAAGAACAACGATCTTGCGTGAACCGCGTTTCCATAGAGAAATGAGTATGGCGCGCTAGTTTTTCTACGGTCTATCTTTTCAAATACCAGTTTTCTGTAATTAATTCGACTTACGTGACCTTGTGGAATATTTAGAACCAAATCCCTAATAAATCGAAAATGTCAAGCGTCTAGTACAAAATTATAATGTAAAGAGCATAGACGTTAATCTTCCAAAAAGATCAAGAAACTATGAGTAACTTATTTATTACACCATTCGTTGCCGCGAGAAGGATATTGTTGCGTCATCTGGGACGAAGAAAAAGCAATTAGTCAAGTGATAACCTAAATGTAATTTTATTTGTTAATGTATTTCTATAAATCTTCCAGAAATTACTAATCTCTTTCGGAATAACAATTAGTGTTTAATAACTTGTTATAATTTACAATTTATAGTTTATACAATTTGTACAACGTTTAAACTCTTTGATAGTAACTAAGTAAGGGAATGTTATAAACATAGGACCATGCGCGCCTTCCACACTGTGTAGCGTTTATTGGTACTAAACCTTGGTGATGTCACACGCTTGAGAAATGTAAAGAACCTTTCAGATGTATGCAATATTGATGAAATGTAAAAAAAACAATGTAATAATGGAAAAATGATTTATTTACGTAATAATTTTGACAAATCGAAGTAATATGTATGTCGAAATATGATTCACATACATGTATGTATTATTTGTATTATTTTGTGTTTTTTACATTTCATCGATATTACATACATCTGAAGGATCCTTTAACATTGTTAAAATCACATTTATTTGCAACGGTCGACACTGTATCTCGTCACGCGTACCTCGTTTAGTTCACTTTGGACAGCCCTTACACCGTTATACGGATAGCTTTCGTTTAGATAAAGTACTCGATTTGTAGCTGAAAGAACGAAGATTAATCCCCTGCCATTGACAATAACAATAAACGACCGGAACACTGTTAAAATCGCATTTAAACGCGGAATACCACTATTTGCGACCGGTGGCGCCACCCGTGGCAATTTGCTCAAACTGCTAGCCAAATCACACCGACAGGTAAGTGAAAATTCCTAGTAATGAAAAAATGCGAATATCTCAATAATTAAGCGCTTAAAATGAACGTCATTAGTCTCAAAATGGTCC